GCTGGCTTTACATCTGGAATATTGAGGCAAAATGAAATCTCAGGGAATTCACCATTGTGTCCCAAGGTCCTTGGATGGTCTACTCTTCTCTTCGTCTTTCAGAATCTTCTTAGGTTTGTTTTATAAATAATGTCCAAAGTTTTTCATTTTATTTACTGGGAGGGATAGAAAAAATTTCATCTTTCCCGAAGTGGAAGTCTGATTGCTTTTTTAACTTGGAATTTAGGAGAGAGGATTTGAAGCTAAACTCTAATCCCACTGCGTCCTTGTTATATTTAATTGTGTAAGACTATGTGAATAAACTTTAAAACAGTCTTGGGAACTAGCAGTTAGTGTAATGGCTATGTCACTGAACTCCCACGTAGTCGACCGCGGTTCACGTCCCGGACCCGGTGGCTTAAAACTCACACCAGGTACGTGTGCGTGCGTGCCCAAGATCGCTAGAGGAGAATGGAGGAGAAGGGATTGCGGCGTGACCATCCCCCCTGGGGGGTGATTTCTCGCTTACTGTCTCTATGTCTCTCTCTGTCTGTCTGGCAAGCGCACGCACCCTATAGCGAAAACCTCTCCAACAAAACAAAACAAAACAAAACAAAAACTTTAAAACAGTCTCATTAAAGAAAAAATAGGTTTGATAAAATGAGTAACTGGGCCAGCCCAGGGCCTGGTGATTATGGTGGCTGGATCCCACTTGGCTGACTGTACAATTCAATTTGAGTCCCAGACATGTGGCTTGAGAAACTTGCCAGGAGCCTGTGTGGGAATGCTCAAAATCTCAAAAGGAGAAAGAAATGGAGGAGAAGGGATTGAGGCATGACCTGCCTCATGTGGTTGGGGGTTTGGAATGTCCTTTCTTATTTCCTCTCTTTCTCGCTCTCTCTTTTTTTTTTTTGGTGAGCATACATGCCCTAGGGCAAATTATCAACAAAATGAGACACACAAACAAAACAAAAACAAACACAAACAAACCCAGGAAGAACTAGTTTAGAGAAAATGTTTAATATAGCTCTTGCACTTAACAGAATTTGTTAAAATGAGTTATGACTACAGATGAGGAGTTTATAAAACATAAGGTAATTTTGTAAAGTAAATGAAAAGGTTAAATGTTCCCCAAGTGCCTTAGGAACTTTTTGACTGAAGCCCTAGATATCTTCATTGGAAAGGCCCATCTAGAATTTGCAAGTGCTTCAGACATCTTTTCTCCTTTTTTGTTCTCAGGTTAGTTGATTCTTTCTTGATTATCACAGATGGCTGACTTTGTATCTTCTAAGTTCTTGCCTTCAGACATAAAGATTGTAATATATGTCAACAGTTGGCACCAAACCTAAAGTTAGAATACAAGGCAGGCTATAGCCTGATATGATATCCAGAGATAACAAAACAACCCAAGGATCAACAGATGTCCTGTTCCAGGGTCACCTTAATTACCCAACCATAACCCCTCCTTTCCTTAAATCCTAATAAAACATCCTTTCCCCCACTCTTCAGTTGATACAGCAGCACTCTGCATCTGGCCCCTTTCTGTGGTCAGAAACAATACATTTTATTCGCTTTCTCTCAGAGTTTATGATAATTTCACAGCCCATGACCAGGACTACCCTAACATTGCAGAGATCACCCTAATGCTTATGACTGTTTCTTTCCCTGTGTATATATTGTCAAATAGAACTATTAACTCTCTTTTAGTGAGAACTGACTACAATTCTTCAGTCTGAATTTGTGGAAGAGAAAATCTCAATAAATCCGCTGTTGTTGGGGGGAGAAACAAGCTAGGTACATGGTACAGTGAGGATTGCTAAGGTCTGTATTTGGGGGATTTAAATGAATTGAGCTTAGAACTATTTCTCATGTCCTCTTCTTATGTCTTACTCAGTTTTTTGTATGTAAAAGATTTTTCTCTCCACTTATTCGGCAAACAATTATTAGGTACCCATTATTTTAAAATATGTTTTGAGGGGAAAAAAAGAAAACAATCAGAGTAGTTACACAGTTTAATTTTAGCCACAGGCAATCATCTTTTACTGCAGGGTCAGTATCAATATGTTTAGCAAGATCTGGTGTGATTTTAATGTGTTAATTGTCTAGATATAAACTTTATAGTATATTGGCAAAAATAGACAACATGAATTATTTCTTTAGGGAACAATTAAGGATAACTTATTACTGCTAGGCAACATTGCTTCAAAATATACTTTGAGAAAATAATTTAAAATTAAAAGTTGGGGCCATCCAGTGGCATGGTGGTTAAGGCGGCTGGATATCACAGGGCTGACTGTATACATGGCTGAAGTCCTGGACCCAGCTATTTGAAAAACACATTTGGCATGTGTGTATATATATATATTACAAAATGAGATTTTTCCGTCCAGTATACATTGTATATTGGCTCAATCAAGGATATTACCATACATGTTATTGTCAACAAGTAATTTTCTATTTCTTGTTTCTTAAATTTTTTCCTACTCCCTCCCTCTTAATCCCCCCTTAATTCCTTACCTCTCACCCTCTACCAACCCCCTCTTCTTCCGCACTGTCTCTGTTATGTACAGTTGTTTTTTATACCTTTTTTTTTTCACATTTCATTGATTCACTAAATATCTTTTTTATTTTTTTGGAGAGATTTTCACTATAGGACGCGTGCGCTCGCCAGACAGAGAGAGACATAGAGACAGAAAGTGAGAAATCACCCCCCAGGGGGGATGGTCACGCTGCAATCCCTTCTCCTCCATTCTCCTCTTGGGATCTTGGGCACGCACGCACACGTGCCTGGTGTGAGTTTTAAGCCACCGGGTCCGGTACACAAACCGCGGTCTACTACAGGGGAGTCCAGCAACATAGCCATTACGCTAACTGTTGGTCCCAATTCACTAAATATCTTAATTTAAAGACTTTCAATAGCAAGCACAACTGATATATACATATCTATGAATGCATGTCTGACTTCAGGCATAAACCTCAGTGAGTGAAGAGAACATGCTATAAAGTAGCACCTCGCTAGGGCTATATACCTTACTGCAGTCATTAAATAGGTATTAATAGGTATTTTTAATGCATTTTTTTATTTCAAGAGAAACAATTTTAGTTTTAATAGATCAAAATCAAAAAATGTTTAAAGAAATTTGCTTAAAACTTAAAGCCAGGAAAAGGTTAGGATTCAGTTCAGATAGGTAGATGAACCTACCAACAGTTCAACAGAAGGCAGAAATCTTTAAATATGGAAATCAAAGCATCAAGAAAATCAATAACCTTTTAGTCTCAAGTAAAAAAAAAAAATTTCACTAGTTTAGACTCATGGATTTATGTAATTAATCTCTCTTCTATTGAATTTGCAGTGTTGCTGTGATCTAATCTTTCCATTTAATCTCCAGAAGTTAACATTCAACTCTGGACTTGTCCATACCATTAGGCTGGCCATTCTCTTGGTTGGTTTTTATACTCTTAGTTCTGTGTTTTTGACTTTAGTTTTCCTGGTATAGCACTACCTTTAGCACTTCTTGGAGAGCTGGTCTGGTGTTGGTAAATTCTTTCAGGTTTTGTTTATCTGAGAATGTTTTTGTCTTTTTTTTTTTTTTTTTTTTCCCATATGAAAGATAATCTTGCTGGGTATAGTATTCTAGATTGTAATTGTTTTTCAGTTAACACTTTGAATTTATTTTCCCATTTTTTTCCTAGCTTGCATTGTTCCAATGAGATGTCCGATGTCTGATGTTAGCTTTATGGGATATCCTTTGGAAGTAACTTGACATTTCTCTCTTGCCAAATTTAATGATTTTGTCTCTGTGGTTTTGCTCAATCTGGCTGTGATGTGCTTTGGGGAAGATCTTGGGTTGATTCTGTGTGAGGTCCTTTTTATTTCTGAGATCTGGATATTTGAGAGTCTCTCTAGGTTTGGAAAGTTTTCGTCCAGGATTTCATGGAATAGATTATCAATGCCCTTATTAGTTTCTTCACCTTCTGGAATACTTATGATCTGGATGTTTGGACATTTAATGGTATCTAGTAGTACTCATATGTTATTCTCATATTTTTTTGAGTTATTTTCTCAGTCTGGTGAATTTTTCTAGGTCAGAGGTTCTATTTTCTACATCTGAGATTTGAACGTCTGTATGACCTAATCTGTTTTTGATATTTTCAAGAGAAGTTTTTATTTCCTTCATCTCTAACAATTCTGTTTGATTCTTTTTATGATGTGTATCTCCTCTTTCAGATCGTGCAAGAACTTCCTCACCTCCTGGAACTCAGTGTCTCTCTTCTCCTGCATCTTCTGGAGTTCGTTGTCTCTCTTCTCTTGCATCTCTGATAGCTTTGTCACTTTGAATATTCTGAATTCTTTATCTGACATTTCCATGAGTTCCCCTGTATCTTCTGACTCCTGGCTAGATCTGGGGGGCAGGAGGGTGAAGTCTGGGCAGAGGGTCTTTGGCAGTCTTAATCTGACTATGACTTAATAACTTGTAAAAATGGGGTTATTTCTCTGGAATAATTTCAAACAGCACTATGCTACCTCTGTCTATTAATGAATCTAGGAAACTTGAAATGACAATTTCCTAGTCTTTTACTTTTTGTGAATTTAGGAGTCAAAATAATTTAGGTTAAGCCTGTATTGATAAAATCTTTGCCATAAATAACTTGAAGTAGTCAACTAGTATTGGTTATGCAGATTACTTTCTACAGCAACACAGATTTACCATCTACACTTCTATAGATTAGTCTAACACAGGTCTCAATGGGTTAAAATCAGCATCAGTAAAGATATGTTACTTTCTTGAGGCCTGTGGGGAAAAGTCTGTTTTCTTGCCTTCTCAGCATTCTTTGATGGCTACTTTCCTCTCTCCATGCACGATGAAGGACATTTTATTTTTAAAGTAAAAATGGATTGTTATAGAACTTAGATTATAATAAGCTTTGTGTGATTTATTTAAGTTTAATGTAATGGAACAATCATGTGGATGCTATACTTCATTTGCTTCATTCTTGCTATAAATATTTGTTCAGACCTCATGGCCAAAAGAAAAGAAAATTTCGTTTCTCCTGAAAATGCTAAAAGACCAAGACAAGAAGAATTGGAAGATTTTGATAAAGATGGTGATGACGATGACTGTACAATTTCTTTCACTAATGGTACTTCTACTTTGGTAAGTGCAAATTTCTGATTGACATACTTCCTCATGTCTTCTTTATATGTCATAGTCTATAACAAATTCAGGAAAAAGCAGTCTGATCTTTTTTAAAAGCCATGATAAAATAATCTGTTCTAACTAAATTGAAAGTTTTGTTAATTTTTAGACAAATTAATACAGAAAATAATGAAACAAAGAATTTAGGGATAAAGGTTATCAGTTAATGATGATAAAACTGATAAACCTCTAGTAAGACCAGCAAAGGAAAGAAGAGGAAGGATACAAATGGCCAAAGTCAGGAATGGGGTTGGCTCTATGACCACAGACTCTGCAGATGTCAAAAGGATTTATCAGCTCTACCTGCGTTTACTTGGCAAAGTTAGATGAAGTGACCCAGTTTCCAAAAAGTAAAACTACAACTCACACAGTATCAAATGGATCATTTGAATAGCTCTATAACAATTATGGAAATCTAGTTAATTTTTAAAAACTCTTAATAAAGAAATCCCTAAGCCTGTTTGATATCACTAGAGAATTGTAGCGAACATTTAAAGAATTAGAGTGAATTCTGCACATCTTCCAGAAAACAGAAGAGGAGGAAACATTTTTCAATTCATTATCTTAATTCTAAAACATCAAGAAGGGCCAAAAAAGCAAACTAAACACTCATATTCCTGATGGATATGGATGCAGAAATCTGCAATAAAATATAAGTAAGTAGAATTTAGCAGCATATAAAAAGGTTTATATTCTATGATCAAATGGGTTTATTCTAGGCATGCAAGCCTGGTGTTCAGAATCTGAAAGTCACCATATTACAAGCTAAAGAAGAAAAATGTGATCATATTATTCAGTGAGGCAAAAGTATTTCACAAAATCTAACACATTTATTATTATGATTATTTTTGTTTCTTGTCATAGGGTGTATGTGCTCTGTTGGACAGAGACAGAGAGTGGGAATGTCAGACATCACCTCTCGGGTGATGGCCATGCTGCAATCCCTTCTTTGTCATTCTCTCGGAATTTTGGGCATATGTGCACACACACTTGGTATGATTTTTAAGCCACTGGGTCTGGGACTTGAACCTTAGTCAGCCATGTAGGAGTCCAGCACCTTAACCACTGTGCTACCTGCTGGTGCCACACACATTATTAAAATTCTCAGAAAAGAAATTGAGGAGGAAAATAGAGAGGCAAGACATTTATGGGACACAGAAATGTATTATTATTATTATTATTGATGATGATAATGCATTTTGTAGCCTCAACTGGACTGGTGTGAAGTGTATTCATGCTGGGTAAATTAAACTTACAACCTAAGTGATGTGTAGTGATTAAATGTATAAAACAAATTAAAATAAAAAAATTGTCAGAAAACCAGGAAAAGGAGGAACTTCCTTAATACAATAAAAGGCACATCAACAGAAAAGCAACAACTAACACTGTACTTTGTGGTGAAACATGGAATATTTTTCTCCTAAGATCAGTAACAAGGAACATGTCTGCTCTCATTGCTCTTTTTCAACAATGTGCTGGGAGATCTGGCCTAGTGCAAATAAAGCAAGAAAGGGAAACAAGACACACAGATTGGAAAGGAAAAAATAGACAACTAAAAAACTCTATTTGTAGATGATCTAGTTGTCTAAATAGAAAATCTCAATGTATCTACCAAAAAACTTAGAACAAATAAGGGGGCTAGCACTTGGCGTAGAGCTTAGTGGTCTGGATCTCACCCAGCTGGCTGTCTGCTATTAGACCTGATGGCTTGAAAATTGCACTGGGCGTGGGTGTGGGCGTGTGTGTGCTTGTGTGCGTGCATGCCCAAAGTCCCAAGAGGAGACTGGAGAACTGATTGAGGCATGGTCAACTCCCTGGAGAGTGAATTCTCACTCTTTGATTTTCTATCTGTCTCTCTCTCTTCCTCTCTGTTTTTCTTTCCAGTGAGTTCATGATCTTTATAGCAAATGAAAACAAAAAAGAAAAAAAGAAAGAAAAATACTCTTATATGATATTATAATGGTGGGGTAGTGGTGGGTCATATCATACATTTTTCCAAATGCATGGAGTGGACAACACCGAGTGAACCCTTATGACTTGAGGTGATAATGATATGTCAGCGTAAGTCATCAGCTGTAACCAGTGTACCACTCTGGTAAGGGATGTTGGATAATGGGAGGCTACACATGCAAGGATAGGAGGTATCTGAAAACTCTTAGCATCTTCCTCTCGATGTTGCTATGAACTTAAACCTGCTCTAAGAAATGCTAAGTATTTTTAAAAAATGAAATACATAGGTATAAATCTAACAAAATATGTAAAGGACTTGTATGCTGAAAACTATAAACTGCTGATGAAAACCTGATCAAAGAAAACGTAAGTGGAGAGATTTACTTATTCATGAATTGGAAGACTCAACCTAGAAGTCAGTTTTTTCCTAAAATGCTATACAAGTTTAATGTATAATTTCCATAAAAATCCCATTGAGATTTTTGATAGCTATAGATAAGTTCTAAAATGTATATGAAAAGTAAAGGAACTACAATAGCTAAAGCAGTTTTGAAAAAGAATGAAGTAGGAGGGATCAGTCTACTCAATTTCAAGACTTATAGCTACAGTTATCAAGATCATGTGACACTGAAATTGGGAAAGATACATAGGTTACCCACACAGATCAAACTTATTTTCTACAAAGGCGGAAATGCAATTCCATGGAGAAGGTAGCCTTTCCAGCAAATGGTGCTGGAAGAATACATTGGTAAGCCAAAAAATTAACCTTGTCCTAAGTCTCATACCTTATACAAAAATAAACTTAAAAGTTGGGTAACAGGTACAAATGTAAAACTTAAAACATTAAACTTTTTGTTCCTGTTTTTGCTGCAGGGCATGTGTACTCATGGGGGAGGGAAAGTGATAAAGAGAGGAGGGAAGTAAGAAATCACTCACCTGGAAAGATGGCCATATTGCAGTCCCTTTCTTCCACTTCCTCTCAGAGTTTTGGGCAGGCACACACATGCACTCAGTGTTTTATTCAAGCCGCCGGATCTGGGACTTTAAGTGCAAAGATGTCTATATGAGATCCAGTGCCTTAACCACCATGCCACCTGCTGGCCCCAAGACGTAAAACCTGTAAAAATGAACATGGGGGAAATAGGACTAGGCACAGAGTTATTAGACTTGACATCAAATATACGAAGCATCAAATGAAAAGCTGGTAAATTGGACCTCATCAAAATTAAAAACTTTGTTCTGCAAAAGACCCCACAAAGAGGATAAAAGGTCAACCTATACTAGGAAAATAATATTTGCAAATCACAAATCCAACAAAATATACTAGTGTCTTGACTATATAAGGAACTCTCAAACTCACCAGTTAAAAGAACAAATAATCCTGTTTGAGAATGAGAAGGTAGATTTCACTGACGAGGAGGACATAACATGGCAGATAAGCACATGAAATGATGTTCAACATTATTTATCATCAGGGAAATACATATTAAGACCACACTGAGATATTGCTACATATCCATCAGAGTGGTTAGAAAAACCAGTGACACCACTGTATGCTGGCAAAGACGAAGATAAACCAAGTCATTCGTACATTGATGGTGGAAATGTAAAGTGGTATTGCACTTTGGAAAAGTCGTCAGTTTCGTTAAGAAACTTAATTTGCAACTACCACATAATCCAGTTTTGTCTTGAAGAAATGAAATTAATCTTTACACAAAGACTAGTATATTGATGTTTTTAGCAGCTTTGTTTGTAAAAGCCAAAAACTGGAAACAATCCAGTTGTCAATCAGTGAATAAATATATTGTGCTATGTCCATGCCACAAAATACTGTTTAAGTACAAAATGAGTGAATCACTGATACAGGCAACAGCAGAGAATTACACTGTGCAAAAAAAGATAATCCCAAAAGTTTGCATTTTGTATCATTCCAGTTTTTTGACATTCTTAAAATGACAAACTTTTACAGAAATGGAGATCGGGTGTTAAGGGTTTGGTGGGATGTGGATGTGGCTATACAAGGGCAAATTGAGAATTTTCGAGGTGCTAGAAATAAGGTATCTTGACCATATCAATATCAGTATCTTACCTGTGATACTGTTATATAATTTTACAAAGTTTTACCATTGGCAGAAACTGGGTAATTAGTACACAAGATTTTTATTTTTTAACATCTGCCTGTGAATCTGTAGTTATTGCAAAATGAAAAAAAATGTTGAAAAATTATTTAGCTATGAGTTCTGGTATTATGCTGCTCATACAGTGGTATAAATGGCTTCTGCTTTTTATTGAAATATGTGTCCAGCAGAAGGGAGCCAGGATTTTTTTTTTTTTTTTTCCTGAGAGATTTTTGCTATAGGGTGCATACACTTGCTGGAGAGACAGAGAGACAGAAAGCAAGCAAGCTGCCAGGTTTGAGCTTGGCCATACCTCATTCCCTTCTCCTGCAATTTCTTCAGGATTTTGTGCATGCACACACGTGCACCTGGCATGAGTTTCAAGCTGCCAGGTTTGAGACTCAAACTGCGGTTGGCCATGTTGGAGTCCAACAGTGTAGCTATTATGTCATTTGTTGGTCTCCAGGGGGCTTTTTAAGAAGCCATTAAAATAGCTGGAAACATGAAAATAGTCTTCAGAAAAATGGAAAGTTATGGTAAAATGTGGGTATTTTTGTGCATGTGTGCCCAAAATACTGAGAGCAGAATGGAGGAAAAGGGATTGCAGTGTAGCCATCCCTCTAGGGGATGATTCTCACTTTTTGTCTCTTTGTATCTGGTGAGTGCACACGCTCTGTCGCAGAAATCTCTAAAAAAGAAGCGAAACAAAATGTAGGTGATATATTCTGGTACTTAGATAATTATTAATACAAAATGTGAGTATTGTCTGCCAAACTGTAGGTTAAACTATTTATGAACTTTTCTTTAATTTAATGCTGTTAAATATTTACAGGACAGCAATTATTATTTCTGTTTTTCAAAATTCGGAAACTGTTTTTATGTGTTCCTAGTACATAGCCGTCATAAGTGGCAAAGTCACAAGAATAGCAGACTTTACCTTTTAAGAATGAGTTTTGTCCTTTGCATTGTTTTTATGAAGTAGGCTGCATGTCAGATAGTAAATTCTGCATTCAAACTGTGGCTGATTACCTTCCAGGGATAATCTAAATACAGTCCTGTATTTTACACCAAGTTTTCTGTCAAAGGAAATTTTGATTCTGGTTGAGACATTTAGCAGTGACTAGATATAACTTCAGTTGTCACAAACTGGGTTCAGGTGTGTGCTACTGATGTCCAGTGAGCAGATTCTAGGAATGCTACTAAGCATTCCAGTGTCCAGGACTGACCTGGCCATGTTAACAATTATCTGGGGCAAAATGTCAATATTAGGCAACTTTGTGATACACTTATTAGGTGCTTTAGAAATTCTAAAATAAGTAGTGACTCAGAAGATTCCCTTCTGAAGTTCCCTTCCTTGAAGTTACTGTTCCTCACATTCTGTAACTTTTTTATTGGTTATACTGCTGGTCTTTCTTCTGCCAACAAATGTTTGATTGATTATAATGAGTGAATTAGACAAGTTGATTGTTTTTTCCCATTGTTTTTTATTAATAGACTGAAGCAGAAGTTGGAATAATTGAAAGTATTCAACTAAAAAACTTCATGTGTCATTCAATGCTTGGGCCCTTTAAATTTGGTTCTAATGTCAACTTTGTTGTTGGCAACAATGGAAGTAAGTGCTTTTGCTTTCCTCATTTGACTTTGAGCAGTCTTTTAAGTTTAGAATATATAAACTTTTTGAAATAGGTCACTATGAGTGCTGATAAATATAATAGGTTTTTCAAAAGTTCATAGAAAATGTGTATTATTTAAAAAACTGCATGTATTTCAATTTTTTTTTACACTAATATATACTTTAATTCCATTAAAAAAAAATTTGCTAGAGGGCACGTGTGTTTGCTGGAAAGAGACAGGATAGATGAGAAAGCACCCTCGCCCATAGGGGATGGCCATACCACGATCCCTTCCTCATTTCATTCTCCCTTCAGGATTTGGGGTATACACACATACTCATCTAGCACGCTTCTCTAGCCACTGGGTCTAGTAGTCAACTACGTAGTTGGCCATGTGGGATCCAGCTGCCTTAACAGCTATACCACGGACTGGCCCAATTCCATTTTTCTGTGAACTTTTTGAAGTCCTTGCATATTTAGTTTACAAGTCTATAACTTCTGGTTATGAATATTTTCACTATTTGCTGCCAGTATACATTTAAGGAAAATACTGAGTGAACTCATTTACATAGTATAGATAAACATTTCCTGATTATTTTTTATATTTACATTTGTATTTGTATTTATTTATTTTGCCAGAGGGTGCCATACATCTCTGGAGAGAGAGAAAGAGAGAGAGAGAGAGCGAGCGTGGTGGGGGACATTAGAAAGCACTCCCCACCCCGTCATGGGCCATGCCATGCTGCAGTCCTGCCTTTCACCTCTCCTTTTGAGACTTTGTGCACACATGCTCATGTGCCTGGCATGTCCCTCAAACTGCCAGGTGTAGAACCTGAATGTGCAGCTTGCCACATGGGACCCAGCTTCCCCAGTCGCCTTGCCACCAGCCAGCCCTCCTGCTTATTTTTTAACCCATTTACCTTAGAGCCTGTGTCATAGAAGGGTAAACAAACTATTTTCATTGTGATTGAGGCATCCCAGTGTCTTAACATTGTAATGGAGCAGAAGTACAGTGCCTTGGGAATCCAAATGAGAAAGTAACCAATTCTTACTGTTGTGGCCCATGACAGTTTTAAGAGGAGATGGGAATTGTGTCAGTTTATAGGTCAAAAATACAGATTCTTTTTAGTATATACACTGCCGAGGCAAGCACAAAATTACAGATTCTTTATGTCTCATTAGAGAAGAAAAAACTGAAATATTCCAGGCAGAGATTGCTTATTGGTAGAAGTTTGCATAAGTAGATATATATTAGGAGTGGTGAATAACACATGATTTTATCTTTTGATACATGGAAGGGAAAGGTGGAAGCTGACACTGGAGAGTCATGGTACACGTGATGTAAAGGGTCTTGAAGGTCATGATAAAGATGTGGGGTATTTTTGGGCCAGTAGGTGGCGTGGTGGTTAAGATGGCTGGATCCCACATGGCCTACTTTGTGGTTCTAGACTTAAAAAACACCCTGGACATATATGTGCGCATGCCCCAAAACCCTAGAGACAAATGGAGGAGAAGGGATTGTGGCTTGGTCATTCCCCTCTGGGGTGATTTCTCACTCCCCCACCCTCTCCATCTCTCTTGACAAGCACATGTGTCCTATAGCAAACTGGGGGAAAAAAAGATTAGGGAGTTGTATTTAGAAGTCAGTGGGGAGTCAAAGTTTTGAGTAAAGAGGTGACATGATCAAGATTGGTGAAACAAACTGGCCACAATGCAGAGAATAGACTAGAAGGAAGAAAATAGAGGAGTCAGAAAGACCACTTGGGTCTGAGGTAGTCCAGCCAGGCCTGAGGAGCTGACAGATTGACGGCAGTAGGCAGTGAAAGGAGCCTCTATAGAATCACCAGCTGGTGACACATGCTTGGCTGATGGACCAGGATGAAGCCAGAGTTTCAGGGTGGAAAGTTATCCCAATAATTTTTCCCATTTCTTTTTAAGTGGTAAAAATTCAGTTCCTGAAATGTTCACCGCTCCCCCCTCCACAAATTACTGGCACTTAACTATGTTGTAATATATATAACTTTGGAAGAAAATGGTAATTGAATCGCAGCATTTTATTTCAGGTTGAGACTAATTTGTTAGGCATCTTTTTGCTATGAAGAGTAGGAGTCAGCATTTTCTTTTCTCTTTAATGAATGTGATTTTTTTCAACGATTGTTTCTTTAGGTGGCAAGAGTGCAGTACTCACAGCACTCATAGTTGGTCTTGGTGGAAAAGCAGTGGCTACCAATAGAGGATCTTCTTTAAAAGGTTTTGTGAAAGATGGACAGAAGTAAGTGCTTGCTTGCTATGTGTGTTTTCAATTCTTTGGTAAGAAATAGCTACTTTTAGATTCCCACTTGATGTGGACAAGACGGAAAATGAAGTGCCTTCCAAGAATAGGAGCAGAAGTATCATATTGCCATCATGGCCTGTTATGCCTGTTGCCCTCTTCAGACAAGCCCCCATGTGCTTGTGCCAAGATAGCTTATGCAGCTCAGTTCATGTGCCTGCCCACCTACACTCACGCTTCTTTTATTTTTCTGGAAGAAATGCTAGTGACAAATCTTTGTAGTTTGTTTAAAGAAATATTTATAAATATTTCTAGTTCCTGGCTTCCAGGTTTGACTTGTGAGCCCCAGAAATTTGGGTACTGGGACTTGATTGTATTGACTGTACTGTAAAGGTATAAAGTGAAAATACAATTTATTCACAGTGTCCTGGAGTGAAACCTAGTGGGCAGTGATTGGTTCATAATGAGTATAACATGGAGGCAACAGTCTCGTGGATAGATTAATGATGTTTCATGAGACTCAGTAAGTTCTAGCTCCCTTAAGAAGGGGTTAGTTCTGGGCCCACAGGTGGCATGGTGGTTAAGGTGCTGGGTTTCCATATGACCAACCATGGTTCGAGTCCCCAACCTAGCAACTTGAAAAATCACACCAGGCATGTTCACATCATGCCCAAAATCTTAGGAGGAGAATGGAGGAGAAGGAATTGGAGTGTGACCATCCCTCCTAGGTGGTGATTTTTCACTTCCTTCTCACTGTTGCTTTCTACTTTCCGGCAAGTGCGCATGTCCTATGCAGAAACTTAAAACAACGGTGGATGGGGGGTAGTTCTCACAAGAGCAGGTTGTTATGAAAGAGAAAGCAATCAGTAGTGTTCTGTCTCTCTCTCAACCTGTGCCCACTATCCTTTGTACTTTGATTGGCTCTGCTCAGTGTCCTCTCTCTCAGCCTGTGCCACTATCCTTTGTACTTTGATTGGCTCTGCTGTAGGCATGTAAGCATGTAGACTTTGTACTTTCCGGCCACTAGAATTATGAGTTTGTAAATAAACTTCTGTCTTCTTTATAAAGTCACCCAGGTTCATGTATTTCTGTTAGCAATGAAAAACAGACTATGACACTGGCTTTTAACTCAATCCTGTCAGTATATTAGTCATTTTATTTAAAAAATATTATGAGGTACATTAAATTAATACTAGGTACTCATGCAATTGATAGTTAATTAAATAAAAGCTTTTTGCTTTGTATTGTGGGTTAGCTGCCCTTCCCCTTTCATAGTTTTGTTAGTGGTTCTAAACCTTAACTGTTTATTAGAATCAACTTGGGGGATTCTTAGAAATCCCATTCATTACAATTTTTTAGGAGCATATCTACCTTCAGTAGGTAAAACACACCAGGAGCTGGCCTATGGAACAGAGGTTAGGGAAACTAAATCCCACATGGCCAACTATGATTTGAATCCTGGCCTGGGTGGCTTGAAAAACATATCAGTTGTGTGTGCATGTGTGCCTAAAATGCTGACAGGGAGAATGCAGAGAAAAGGATTGTAGCGTGTGTGGGTGGTGCTTTCACTTCCTTTCCCTCTCCCTTTTTCTCTCTTTTGTGTGCATGAGTGTGTGCACCCCCTTGCAATCAGTCAGTCAGTTAATTTTAAAAGATTTTAAAGAAATAAACACAGCAGTTCACTGAAGGTTCATTTTATTTTAAAATAATATTTTTTTTATTTATTCTTGATGTAGCATGTGTATGCACATGTAAAAAAGAGAGGAGCAGGCCTGGTCATGCCATGGGGTGAGGAGAGGGGTGAGAGAAGCAGGTCTGGTCATACTGTGATGGCTTTCCTCCTGTCCTTCTGCCTGTTGGATCTTGGATACTTACATACATGCCCAGTATGTTTCAGGCAGGCCAGGCCAAGGATCTGAGCTACAGTCATCCTTTGGGATCTGATCATCACATTACTGCTACACTGCCAAGCTGACCTTGTATTTCTTTATATCAGATATCTACTTTTTCTTTTTTCCTATTGCTAAGTAATTGCTTCTCTTTAATTATAATTACTTAGAGAATGTTTTAATTTTACCATGATTTTACTTCATCATTCTTAAAAACCTATTGTTGAGGCCAGCAGGTAGCATGGTGGTTAAAGCCCTGGACTCCCCCATGGTGGACAGTGGCTCAAGTCCTAGACCTGGGAACTTGAAAATTATGCCGGGCATGTGTACATGCATGCCCAAAATCCCAAGAGGAGAATGTAAGAGAAGAGATTGAGGGATGGCCATCCTGCTGGGGGGCGGGGGGTGATGTCTCACTTTCCTTCTTTCTGTCTCTCTCTGGTGAGTGTACACACCTTGTGGCAAAAACTTAAAAAACAAAACCCAAAACAAAAATACCTACTGTTGGCATGATGCTTTATTATTATTATTGTAAAAATTATTTTATTTAACTTCATTTATTTATTTATTTTTATTTGACCAGAGAAGACAGAACTAGAGAGAGAGAAAGTGAGAAATCATGTCACCAGGTCCAGGACTTGAACTGCAGTACGCCATGTAGGAGTCCAGCGCCCTTAACCACCATACCACCTGCCGGCCCAATGCTTTATTATCTAATTGATGGTAGACAAACAATATGATGTTGATTACATGGCCCTATAGGAAAATGTATAAATTATCTACATGACTTGAAACAACCAAAATTTAATTTTTTTGTGTATGTATGTGCAAATATGGAATTTCTATTATGTATTGAGTAGTCTATTTTTTAGGAAGCTTTGCTTATTCTCGTTTGTTTTGTTAGGTATGATATCTTTAATATTCTGTAGTAGATTATCAGCCATCAGCTACTGATGTAGAGCTAATCTTCACGTGAATTAGCTGAATTATTTAGGGGATTTTGCAAATCCTGGTTGCCTAGTATTGTAATTGCTCTGTACTTTCTTGTGACTTAGCTTACTCTCATTGTTTTAGCTCAGCAGATATCTCAATAACTTTAAGGAACAGGGGAGATGATGCCTTTAGAGCAAATGTGTATGGTGACTCTATCATCGTGCAACAGCATATCAGCATGGATGGGAGCCGATCTTACAAACTAAAAAGTCAAGCAGGTTTGTTTTGATTTTCCTTTTATTATATATAAGATATTAGTAAATACTCAGAAAGAGTTAAATGATCATGCTGGTATTCATTGAAAAGTTTGCAGTCTTTTGAATCCTCTTTGTTGTAGCATGATTGGTTGTGTGTATATATACACATATGTTGGTACATGTGTCTATTACACATAGTCATTGTACCACAGGGCATTTTAGTGGCAAAACTATGATAAGCACAATTTGGTCAGTTTGAAACAGCTGTGCCATTTGTTTTCACTTAACAAACTTACTTTTACGGTTTCTATAGCACGTGGAAAGAGATGGTTAGAAAAAGGTGAAAAAGGACATACAGGAATAATTGAATGTGTAGACCTACTGAAAAGAAAGAGATAGAGGAAAAGCAAGAAAAAATATTTAGCTATGGAAAGAAGATAAGCACTGTTACTGCATCTGGGTATATTTTTCCCCCATGTGCTTGTGCCAAGATAGCATATCACAACAGTTCATGTAGATTTATACATATCAGTGGCACTTTTGATGACACATTGAAAGACAGTTAATATTTGTATTTTATAAATAATTATACACTTTTTCTTTGTTACTGCTCTAGGAATAGTCTGATCATTTTATGTGTTTCTCATACCTAGGCAGTGTGGTATCTACTAAGAAAGAAGAGCTGATTGCAATTCTTGATCATTTCAACATCCAGGTAACTGCTGAATTTGTATGTCAGATCAGTTGATGCAACTATTAATTTTTTTGGTGCAACTTCATTTGTGATGTTGAAGCAGAAAGACCACAGTTTAAGTCCTGGGCCTGGAGGCTTTCTCTCTCTCTCTCTGCTCAAATTTAATAATAAACATAATAATAAATAAAATTAAAGAAATAATTCTTTAAAAAAAAGAAAAAATAAAGAGCTTTAGCATTTATAGTTTTTGGTGTCCACGACTAGTCCTGGAACTAATCACAAAGGTAACCAGTTGCATGAGAGGGATAATGTGTAAAACAGAAAAAGTAAAAACCGTTCTGATAAAAACACTTCTTCAGAGGGTTGGTTTTTTATTTTTATTTTTTGCCTGTGCTCGCATGTAATGGTAGAATGTTGAGTATTATCTCTAATATTTATTGTGGTCTATGACATTTTGAAACATTGTCCCGACTTTAAAACATTTCTAACATTTTCTCTTTGTACAATATTTTGACCCTAATGCTGTAACTTTTGGCTACTGCTTAGCCTTCTCGATGACACTAAAGGGCCGTTATAATGCATATTTCTGTTCATTGATCTTTAAGACATTAAAATAAAATATCCATAAATGACCTTTTTTGTTTCTTTGTTTCAGGTGGATAATCCGGTTTCTGTTTTAACACAAGAGATGAGCAAGCAGTTCTTACAGTCCAAAAATGAAGGAGACAAATACAAAGTAAGGGATACTAAAATAATATAAACCTACCCAGAAGAAGTACATTTAAGATATATACCAGTTTTCTTGTTTACATAATAGATACTAAAGGCTTTTTTTTTTCTTTTCTTAAGACCACCTATTTAAAGTAATATTGTAGGACCACATTAGGAAATTATTAAATAAAATTATAATATAATTTGTTGGTAAATCTTTGTTTTTAATTTTTGACTTTTAATTCTGAAAGGGATTATTATTTTCTAAAATTAATATTCATGAAATTAAAGGTGACGATTGGCCATATGTACATAACTACTCATGAACCTTAAACTACATAATTTATTTTTTAAAGAATTACTTATTTAATTTTATTTATTATCATTCTTTTTAATTTGACCATAGACAGAGAGAAAGTGAGAAAGCGAGCTGCCAGATCTGGGAAGCAAGCCACAGTTGGCCATGCAGGAATCCAGTGCCTTAGCAATCACACCACGTGCTGGCCCTAAACTATGTGATATTTTAAAAACTAACAAAATTTTTGACTTCTACTAAACTTAACTCTCTAGCCTTTTGAATAAATTTTGGTATCTCCTATTCTAAAAATGTAGGCTTTTCTGCAATCCAAGATATGAATGTTTTCTTTCATTTTTGCTTAAGAAATAGAAGTAGTGAAAATGAGCTTCAAAAAGGTGCTACTATTACGTCTACAGGTAGTTTCTTTTATGAGGTCTTAAGAGCTTTTGCAAATGAGCACATGGATGTGAGCATTACAGGTTTAGTGAATTTGAGGCTGAAGTAAGATGTGTTCTTTTGTGTTTGTATTTATGTGTACTTTATGTTTTAATGTGTTTTTATATAATTCACCTAATTGTTCACAGTTCCATGAATGTTTACAAATTCTTAATTGTGCTTTTCTTGTTGAAACAGTTCTTCATGAAAGCAACCCAACTTGAACAGATGAAGGAAGATTATTCATATATTATGGAAACAAAAGAAAGAACAAAGGAACAGATAAATCAGGGAGAAGAGGTTTGTAAACAGTTAGTGTAAACCTTTTTTGAGATCAGCCAAATTCCTCTAGTAGTTAAGGTAAATGGTATTATAAAATTATATACCTGTGTTTCTCTATAAAATCACTTAACATTTTTATAGCTCTCTGAGTGTATGAAGTATTTTTTTTTTTTGTATTCAGAGTACTTTTTTAGTCTTTCTGTTTCATTATAATGGGTAAGTGCATGTCTACCTCCTCTTAGACTAAATGAGAAGACAAGGTGGTATCTTACATACTTATCCCTTTGCATGTAAATAATTGGCTCTACAATAAGGTGTCATGAATTTACCCTTTAACAATGTGAGGGTTGGTGTGCTGATACCCTGTGCAGCTGGAAATTCACATATAACCTTGACTCCCTTGAAACTTAACTATAGATAAGCTAATGTTGATTGGAAGCCTTACTAATAACCAACAATACACTAGTACATATTTTGTGTATGTATTATGTACTGAAGTATTACAATAAAGCCAGTTAGAGAAAAAGAAGTGTTATTAAAATAATCTTGAAGAGGGGCCAGCAGGTGGCATAATGGTTTAATGTACTGGACTCCCACATGGTTGACAGCAGTTTGAATCCTGGACCTGGTAGCTTGAAACTCACTCAGGGTACATGTGCATGTGTGCCCACAATCCTGAGAGGCATTAGAGAAAGGATTGTGGCATGGCCATACACCCTGAGGAGTGGTGTTTCACCTTCTTTATCTCAGTCTTTCTCTCTGTCTCTAGTGAATGTATGTGCCCTATAGCAACAATCTCTTTTAAAAAACCCAAAACTTGAAAATACATATACTGTACTGTATTTCCCATTATGTTTATTGGAAAAAATCCACATATTAGTGGACTCAGACAGTTCAAACTAGTATTGTTCAAGAGTCAACTGCATGGGACTGGCAGGTGATGTAGTGGTTAACTCCCACATGCCCAACTGTGGTTCGAATTCTGGACCTGGAGGCTTGCTTTCTCATTTTTTTTCTCTCTCTCTCTGTCTTTCTCTGGTCAAATGGAAAAAAATTATGATTAAGATAAATAATTCTTTTTTTTTTTTAAAAGCCAACTACAGTTTAAAAACAAATTTTTCTTGGGCCAGCAGGTGGTGTGTTGGTTAAAGTGCTGGATCTCACATGGCTGACTCTGATTTGAGTCACAGACTCGGTTGCCTGAAAAACAGGCTGTGTCTGGGACCAGCAGGTGACATGGTGGTTAAGATGCTGGTCACTCCCACATGGCTGACCACGGTTCGAGTCCCGGACCTGGCAGCTTGCTTTCTCACTCTTTCTCTCTCTCTCTCTGTCTCTGGTCAAATTAAAATAAAATGAATGAATAAATAAAATAAAATAAATAATTATTAAAAAACAACAACAACAACAACAAAAAACAGGCTGTTGCCAAAAGCGCTAGAGGAGAAGGAAGGAGAAGGAATTGCAGTGTGACCATCATCCCTGGGGAGTGATTTCTTACTTTCTCTATCTCTGTCTCTGTTTCCAGAGAGCACATGCACCCTATGGCAAGAATCTTTTTTTGGTGCCGAGATAATAAACACAAGCCACAGCTGCTGTTATACATAATATGCATTTTATAGTTAAATTTGGTGGATGACTCACTACACTCATAAAATGTTAACATGCTTTAAGCAACTGTTCGCTTGGTGTAGTAGCTTTCATGTTGGCACTCACCAGCTTGGCAGTCATCCAAATTTACTTGGGTTTTAGGTCACTCATGGCAACTGTGACTTAAGTAAATTTGCTTTTGTATCTGCTGTATTTTGTCCTTAATACTTTTTTAAGATTCCTTAAATCTAACCTTCTGTCTGATAACTCAGAGACTGTAAAGTCCTGACATGACATTATGTACAGTTGTTAACCCGTACATGATTTCGCCAGTTTTACATGGATTCCTTTTCTTGTTCTTGTGCTATTTAGTAAATTTTTATGCAAGCATTTGAGGGTCAGCAAAAATGAAAAAGAAAAGCTTTTCCTTTTGAGATGTAATTATGTTCATGATTGACATCAAATTCATTAGATGTTTCATTTACCTTTTTACTTCACATTTAAAAATTTTTTTGGAGAGGTTTTTTTCGCTGTAGGGCGCATGCACTCGCCAGACAGACAGAGAGAGACAGACAGAAAGCGAGAAATCACCCCCCAGGGGGAATGGTTATGCCACAATCCCTTCTCCTCCATTCTCCTCTTGGGATCTTGGGCACGCATGCACACGCACCCAGCGTGAGTTTTAAGCCACCGGGTGCGGGATGCGAACTGCGGTCGACTACGTGAGAGTCCAGCGACATAGCCATTACGCTAACTGCTGGTTCCCTTTACTTCACATTTTTAAGAAATGCTTCTTTTTGGAGCAAGTGGTGTAGTGGTGAAGGCACTGGACTCCCACGTGGCCGACCATGGTTTGAGTCCCAGATCTCATAGCTTGAAAAACATGCTGGGCACATGTGCTTGCATGTCTAAAATCCTGAGAGTGAATAGAGGAGAAGGAATTGTGGTGTGCCCATCGCCCAGGACTGATTTCTTATTTTCCTCCTTCCCTTTATATTTGTCTCTTTTCAGTGAGAGCACATGCCCTGTGGCAAAAACCTTACAATAAAAAATAATAACAATAATGAAATGCATATTTTAGGTTAGGTCTATAGTTGTGTGGTTCATTAAGTGAAAGTAGAAATTAAGGATGAGTGAATTTATTTTTATTCCCCACATCTCTTCAAACCTGGGTTATGTAATGGTATGCAAGGAGATATTATAAAGTATAGAATTAATACAGCACCATTTCTTGCAGCATTGGTGCTATTATTATGGAAATCAAACTTGCATATTCAAATGTACACAATTGTATTACATTTATTTATTTATTTAGAGAGTTTTTTTGCTATAGAGGGAGTGTACTCACCAGAGAGACAGACAGAAAGACCGAAAGTGAGAAGTCACCCTCCAGGGGTGATGGCCACGCCTCAGTCTTCTCCTTCAATCTTCTTTTGGGATTTTGGGCATTCACTCACACACGCCTGGCGTGAGTTTTAAGCTACTGTGTCCAGAACTCGAACTGTGGTCGACTACATGGGAGTCCAGTGTCATAAAAATTATATCATCTGCTGATTCCTACATTTATTATTTTAAAGATACTAAATCAAGACTTTGAAGAAATTTGTTTGCTATAGACTTCTTGAGGTTAATCATCATCTCCATGGTAAAGATACTTTGATTATGAAGCTTAAGATCAATTTCCCTTTACCACTCAGCAGAGTTCCTGATTCATAATACTCACTTACTTACTTACTAAGAACCTTTTTTGGATCGACCCCATAATGTAATGGTTAAGGGAGCCATAACATCCTGGCCTTGGTGGCCTGAAAAACATGATCAGGTATGTATGTGTGTATGCCCCAAAACTTAACAGAATAGAAAAGGGATTGTGGTATGACCACACCCTATTGGGGTATGCTTTTTTCCTCTCTTTCTGCTCTGTGTGCCTGGCATGTTTCTCAAGGTGAGGTTTTGTACCTTCTGGCAATTAAAAAAATAATAATAACATTTTTCCTAGTTGATTAAGTTCCCTGTAATCTCATTTGATTTCATGTGGTCAGAGGCTACAAGAATTGACAAAACTCACTTTGTTTCACTAGTGGTGAAAACATAGCCTTAATTGAAGAACTAAGAAACTTGTGACCAACAGCATGGTCCCATGGTCCCAATCCAGGATCCCACAGCTTGAAAAGCATGCCAGACATGTGTGCATGTGCGTCCAAAACCCGAGAGAAAATTGGAATAGAAAGGACTGTGGTGTGGCCATCCTCTCTGGGGGGTGATTTCTCACTTTCCCTGTCTCTCTCCAGTGAGTGCATGTGTACTATAGCAGAAATCTTAAAAAAAGAACTTACGTAAGAAAAATTGTAACTTATTTGATTTTTGGAAATAAATTTCTTCTAATCCTTCTTTATATTATGTTTGGGATGATTATTGACTATATTTTGTCTGAAAAAAAACCAGACTAGTCTATCAGATATGAAATAAAAATGGGAGTTCTGGTATTCATCTATACTTTATGGTCTTGAATATTTCCTTTGCCCTTCTTGATCTGAAGAATATTTGGCCATTATTTTTCCTCATTAACTTTTTTTTTTTTAACTTGCTGTACTTGTTATAGAGGGAAAGTGAAAAAGCACCCTCCAGGAGGCATGGCCACACTGCAGTCTCTTCCCCATTTTCCTCTCAGAATTTTGGGCATGTATGCATGTGCCCATTGTATTTTTCAAACTCCTGAATCTGGGATTTGGACCAGGAAGTTGGCCAGGTGGGATCCATCTGCCTGAACTTCCTCACCAGCTGACCCTAGTTGACTTTTTTTTTTTTTTTTAGGTTTTTGTCATAGGATGTGTGTGCTCATCAGAGAGGGAAAATTGAGAAATCACCCCCCACCCCTGGGGGAATGGTCACACCACAATCCCTTCTCCATTCTCCTCTTGAGATTTTTGGGCATGCACACATGTGTACCTGGTGTGATTTTCGGACTGCCAGGTTCAAGGCTCCAACTGTGGTTGGTCATGTGAGAGTCCTGTGCCTTGGTCTTTATGCCATCTGCTGCCCCGCCCTCTAGTTGGCCATATAGTGAAGAAATAAGCAAAATTATTTTATGTAGTATAAGTACCAAAGATCCAAAAATATTTTTATTTTCACTTTATTATTGCTGTTAAAAAAAATGATCGTTGCCAGAGAGCACTTTGTGCTCATCAAAGAAAGCGAGAAATCATCATCCCTCCCAGTGGGACGCGGTCATGCTGCAGTCTTTTTTCCTTTGTTTCTTTGTCCTGTCAAGATTTGGGTCATTGATGCACCGTGTGCCTGGCATGTTTCTCAAAGTGTAGTCGACCCTGTGGGATCAACTTTCTGTGTACTGCACTACAGGGTTGTATTTTCACTGTGAAGAAGTCATTTCCTAACTAACTTTAATATAGTCCTATTTAGGCTACTAAAAAAATTGCAAATTTTTTTTTTCAATGTCAATAAGAAAGATTTTTTCCTTTTTTTTTTTAAGCGACTTGTTGAACTAAAGCGCCAGTGTTTGGAAAAAGAGGAACGTTTTCAAAGTATTGCTGGTTTAAGTACAATGAAGACTAATTTGGAGTACTTGAAACATGAAATGGCTTGGGCAGTGGTAATTTTTACTTAATTACTTGTTCACATATGTTTGTGTTAGACAGAATATATTTGGTTGTAGTTAATCTTACCATTGATTTGCTATGTAATTTCCTTTTAGGTCAATGAAATTGAAAAACAATTGAATGCTATCAAAGATAATATTAAAATTGGAGAAGATCGTGCTGCTAGACTTGACAGGAAAATGGAGGAACAGCAGGTAATAACTTTTTTTTTTATTTTAAGGTATACAGTTAGTAGGTTGGATTCTATATAATTGCTGAAATTAGAATGTTTATGATGGACAGAAAGTAGCTGTTGTAACCTGTATATTCTCTGTATTTGAATATATTACTTAAGTAGGCCTAAGCTTTTTCAAGGTGCTTTATGGCAGCTCTCTCTTGAAGTGTACTGAGTTTGGCTATGATAATCCTGTCTTGGGCAAGGTCTATAGAACTCTCATTTGCATGGACAGCGGGACTTTGTAACTAACTAGAGTTACTAGACCGTGGCTTTATTAAGGACTTGCAACAGAAAAAGACCTGAGAAATAAAGGGATGCGACGATAACCGTCAATTAGAATCCATTAAAGCCACACATTAGAGAGTACAGGAAATCATAGCTGAAAGCAATGCCTAGAACTTAAAGGTAACTGAATTTAAGGGCCCAGACCAAGATTGCTTGTGAGAATATTTCACATTGGTGGGCTACATGTTGGATAAAATGTTAGATCTGCTAAGGTTCATTTCAACCTGAGTTCTAAAAGCCCAGGTAGAAGCCATTTTATCTCACATTGAAAAGTCACAAAGTCTTCCATATGACCCCAGATATAGAAAGTTGATAGAGTGATAAGTAAAGGTAGTTAATTCTCTGTTGGAGGTTTACACATGGGGCCTTTTTACTACTCAGCAGACCTTTTCTTAATTAAAATAAATTTTTTTTATGCTATAGGATGTTTATGCTCACCAGAATCTGAGAGAAAGTGAGAAATCACCCTCCAGAGAGCATGGCCATGCTCCAATCCTTTCTCCTCCATTCTCCCCTCAGAATTGTAGACATGCACACACATGTGCCTGGCATGAGTACCAAGTCGCCAGGTCTGGGACTCAAACTATAGTCAGCCATGTGGGAGTCCAGTGTCCCAACCACTATGCTACCTCAGACCTTTCATAATGACACTATGGAATATAAGGCCTTTATACTCCTTCATCAGCTCCCACCATTATCCTCTCAGTGTAAACTCTAGTAGTGTTTTTTGGGGGGGGGAGATTTTCACTATAGGGTGCGTGCGCTTGCCAGACAGGCAGAGAGAAACAGAGAGACAGAAAGTGAGAAATCACCCCCCGGGGGAATGGCCACACCGCAGTCCCTTCTCCTCTGTTCTCCTCTTGGGATCTTGGGCACGCATGCACACACACACGCCTGGTGTGAGTTTTAAGCCACCGGGCCTGGGACGCGAACCGTACTCGACTATGTGGGAGTCCAGCGACATAGCCATTACGCTAACTGCTGGTTCCTTCTAGTAGTGTTTTTAATTCTTAAAATAGATACTGATACCTTTGTACGTGCTCTCCCAACTGCCTGTAACGCCCTTCTCCAATTTATCTCATAGTATATGTTGATTAATCTTTCAAGTCTCATCCCAAATACTCCTTCCTCTTTGAAGGTATTCCTGACTTTTTCTGGCAGTCCTATGGCTTCTTTCACTTGTTTTCACAATTATAAATAGAAAACCATAATTAAGCATTATTGTATCTAAATTGTACCCTTAATTTTTATACTTGTTTCTGTTAACTTGTATCTATCCCCCATTATTTATATTATTCAAAAATGACTACTGTACCTCTATCCCTAAAGGATTGCACCTGTTTTAGATAACTAAATGTGGGTTAAAAACTAAGTTATATTTTAGTATTCTATGTAATTATGTTAACTTACATAATGTTTTGAATGGAATTTATTTTGGGGATATAAACAATATTTAAACTATAAAATTATTTAAAACCTTTTCTCTTTCTTATGGAAAAATAGAATGTGCTTCAATAATGTTATTGTTTTAAAGGTCAGACTTAATGAAGCAGAAAAAACTTACAAGGATATTCAAGATAAACTAGAAAAGATTAGTCAGGAGACAAATGCACGGGCACCGGAATGTATGGCATTGAAAGCAGATGTCACTGCCAAGAAAAGGGCCTATAATGAAGCCGAGGTGAGACAATTTCTAACCTGGGATATTAAAGACTGCATAGTAAGTACGAGGGTACTTCAAAGCGTTCCTGGACGAATGGAATTAAACACCAGTTTATTTTGGTGCAAAAGGTTTTAAAATCCGTGAATAGTTCTCATAAAATGTACTTTCCACATACTTCCTGAAGACCCTCTCATTTATAGATTACTCATCTATAAATTAGGGTTGAAATCTGTGTAGCTTTTCAGACTTTTAAAATATGTAGGTCTGGCCATGGTGGCACTTGTGGTTGATTCTGCTACTTTGCAGGCTGAAACCACATAGGAAGCCTGGATTTGATTCCTGACCTCCCTAAAAGTCTGGCATAGCTGTTGTCCCAGCTATCCCTGAGGCTGAGGCAAGAGGATAGTGAGGTAGGGAAACCCTGTCCAAAAAAAAAAGTATTTTTAAATGACCATTTTATGTACTACTAAATTCATGATTAAGCTTATGCATACACTCATGACAGAAATAAGCATCCTATACAGGGTCTGGTCACATCATAGTCACCTTCCTCCAGACTGCCAGCCCATCAGATCTTGGGCACTTAGTGCACATGCCTGGTGTATTTCAGACTGTCCAGGGTAGAGATTTGAAACCATGGTTGCCATTTGGGCTCTGGCTTCACTTGAGCAGTAAATACTACTGGATCATGGAGCTGGCTTTATTTTTAAAATAAATTTCTGCACATATTCAGCCTTTAAATCAAGAATAAACAAAACTAAAATGATCTTTTTTTATATTCAGCCTTTCATTCAAGAATAAACAAAACTAAAATGATCTTTTTTTTTTTTTTGGTTAGGTTTTATATAACCGTTCCCTAAATGAATATAAAGCATTGAAAAAAGATGATGAGCAGCTCTGTAAAAGAATTGCAGAACTGAAAAAAAGGTAGGAGAGTTACTTTGTAGTTTTTGTTATTCATATTTGGAATCTGTAGATGTGGTAGAAAATCATATTTTCTATATTGCTGATAAAATTTTATTACACTAGCTTCTGGCTTTTAAGGGTTAGATTTTTTTCATTTAACATTTTTCATTTTGGATTATTTACTGTTAGTACTGACCAATCTTTGGAACCTGAGCGGTTGGAAAGGCAAAAAAAAATATCGTGGTTAAAAGTGAGAGTAAAGGCCTTAGAGGATAAAGAAAATTCAGTCAATCAAGACATTGATCAGTTTCAGCAAGCCATAGAAAAGGACAAAGAAGAATACTCCAGAATTAAGTAAGTTGCAATATCCTTAGAATTATTACTATTTTTTTAGTTACTTTAATGCCATATAGATTTGTTCTTATAGAGAGAAAATGTGGGATTTTGTATTTTTACATAGCAAAGAAACTTTTATTTATCCATTTATTTATTTTATAATTTGACCAGACACACACACACACAAACACACACACAGAGAGAGAGAGAGAGGAGGAAAGTGAGAAAACAAGCCACCAGGTCCAGGACTCGAACTGAGGTTGGCCATGTGGGAATGTCCAGCACTTTAATCACCACACTACCTGCTGGTCCCATATTAAAGAATCTTTTAAAATCTCTTTCTTGGTACCAGCAGTTGGCATAATGGCTATGTTGCTGGACTCCCATGTGGTCGACCTCGGTTCAAGTCCCGGACCCGGTGGCTTAAACTCATGCTGGGCACACATACAAGATCCTGAGAGGAAAATGGATGAGAAGGGATTGAAGCGTGGCCATCCCACCTGGAGAGTGATTTCTTGCTTTTATATATATATATATCTTTACCAAGTTTTTTCTTAAACTTACAGAGTTACACAGTCTCTGGGACTCCTAGTTCATTACTACTGCATCACTTTTCATGCCAGATTATGAGGACTTCTATTTTTCTGTGGTAACACAATTATTTTCACATAAAGAATTCTACTCTAGTTTTTAGGGTAGCTCGTCATCCATTGGTATGCTGATATTATGAGCAAAGGTCGTCTATTTCTGTATACTATAACACATATCTGTTCTGTTTTTCTACTTTTATTTCTTTAGGAGAGAAGAACTGGATGTGAAGCATACACTGAACTATAATCAGAGGCAACTGAAAGATCTAAAAGATAGTAAAACTGATCAGCTAAAAAGATTTGGCCCGAATGTTCCAGCCCTTCTTGAAGCAATAGATGACGCTTACAGACGAGGACATTTTACTCATAAACCTGTAGGCCCTTTAGGTATTTGTCACAATTTAGAGAGAGTATAGTAAACATTAGAAATAAAGTCTTATTTTCAGGAAGAGGCCTATTGAATCGATTGGTAGTTTGAAAACTGTTATCAAAGAGCTATGTAGTTACATATTGACTTTAATCATACATATTTTTTAAACTAATCAAATTACTTTTAAATTGTAAAATGGACAAAAGAAAGAGAATTTAGAGAGACGAATAAGTAATTATAGAAGTAGACAATCTGGTTCTTTTCTCCTGAGTAAATTAATGAATAAGTGAATGAACTCATTTGATTATATTTCATTAATCAGAAAATTCAGTAATATCAAGATAAATTGGAAAGGACACTCACCTGAGTTTTGTGTAACCTTTATACAATGACTTATATAGTTCTTTTAGTTTTGTTTTCTTCAGTTTTCCTATAAGGTTGTGTGTGCTTGCTAGAGAGAGAGAGAGAGAGAGAGAGAGAGAGAGAGAGAGAAGTGAGAAATCACTCCCCAGGGCAGATGGCCAGGCTTCTCCTAGGATTTGGGGCACTCTTATACGTGTGCCTAGTGTGATTTTCAAGCTACTGAGTCCATGAATCAAGCTATGGAGTCAGTCACGTGTGATCCAGCACCTCAATGTCCATGCTACCTGCTGGCTCCATAGTTCTTATTTAAACCTCACAACATGATTTCTGAGTTCTCTTTGAACCATAAAAGTTAGTTATTTAATTACATATTATATGAGATTAAACAAAATTTTTAGTAAAGTTTTTCTGGAGAGCTAGCTGTAATTCTGAATTTTATTAGATGAAAATAATGCTGTTAACAAAAATACATTTTGTTATAAACCACTGCAACGAAGTATTAACAGTTTTGTCTCTGTGTGTAAATGATATGTGTCAAGATTCATTCACTGGATGTGGGCGACTTTTTCCCACCCCTAAATCTGAAATGTCAATACTAATTGGTTTTGTAAACTATAATAAGGAATTTGTAGTCTCTTGACTTGGTTTGCAAAACACCATTGAGAGGAATTGTATGAACTTTATACAAAAGCCACTATCGACTTACATTAAATGTTAAAGTGGAACAACTTTTTTACCTAATTTGGTGAGTTCTCTCCCTAGTGGATATCTAGGGATTTCCCATTTAGTTAACATGAACCTGTACTATCATTTAAGGTGTTTTACAAACTATTGTCAAAAGACAGTAACATTAATATTTCAAGTGAGTATTAATAGGCGCTTTTATCATTTTTTTCTCACTTTTAGGAGCTTGTATTCATCTTCGGGACCCTGAGCTTGCTTTGGCTATTGAATCTTGCTTAAAAGGACTTCTGCAAGCCTTTTGTTGCCATAATCATGCTGATGAAAGAGTACTTCAGGCACTGATGAAAAGGTTTTATCCACCAGGGACTTCACGGCCACAGATAATAGTTTCAGAATTTCGGAATGAAATGTATGATGTGAGACACAGGTAAAGCATGTTGTTTCTGGTGGTTTTAATGATGTGCAAGGTGGCAAGGAGTTAAAGCACCTAAAAATTTATTTTTTTTTTTCTATAAGAGCATGTGCACTTGAGAGACAAGTGTCTCTCTGTCTAGAGAGGGAAAGTGAGAAAGCACCTCTCCACCCCCATGCTGGGGGTGGGGGGGAATGGCCACGTAATCTCTTCTCCATTCCTTGGGATTTGGGCATACATACACTTGTGCCCAGTGTTTTTCAAGCTGTGGGATTCAGGACTCAAACTGTGCAGTTAGCCATGTGAAATCCAGCTATCTTAACCACCATGCTACTGGCTGTCCCCTAAAGTACATTTTTTAAAGTTTATTTATTTATTTAGAGGTTTTAGCCTTAGGGCACATGCTCTCACCAGAGAGAGAGATAGATCATAGAGAGAGAGACAGTGAGAGGGAAAGTTTGAAATCACCCTTCAGTGGGAATGGCCACGTCGTAATCCCTTTTCCTCCATTCTTCTCTTGGGATCTTGGGCATGCATGCACATGCACCCGGTGTGATTTTCAAGCCACCAGATCTAGGTCTGGAACTGCAGCCGGCCATGTGGGAGTCCAGTGATGTAACTGCTGTATGCATTGCTGGTCCCTGTTTATTTATTTTTTATGGGAGAGAGAAAGAGAGATGCCCCTTATATGGTCTTGCCATGCTATGATTCTTCCGTCATCCTCCTAGCCAGCCAGTGCCTGGTGTGTTCTGGCTGACTGTGGTTCCAAACCTAGGGCCTTATCATACAGCTCCAGCATGGCACGGCAGTGCCGTACCACCTGCACCACTGTGAGTGGACTGAAAACACTTTTAATACCAACTGTATTTTTACTACTTGCTTGTAAAATTTCATCCAGCAATTTTTCTTTAATTATTTATTATTATTATTTTTAATTTGTCCAGAGAGAGAAAGAGAAAGTAAAAAAACAAGCCACCAGGTCTGGACTCAAACCGTGGTTGGCCATGTGGGAGTTCAGTGCCTTAAATGCCATGCCACCTGCTGGCCCCCATCAAGCCATTTTTCTTTTCAGGCTAGACCTACTGGTTTTAGGCACTAGAGAAATGTAGATGAGTAAGAGTTATCCCTTGCTCTTGAAGTCCTTACGTGAGGTCTCATATGGTATGGCATAGAAATTATATAGATGGGGAAATGATGCAGAACTAACACTAAAATAAGAGGAAGGTCTAAAGGAAGAAGATTGGCACTTATTACACACACACTTAAACTCTCAAGGTACTTCACAGAATCCATAAAAAATGCAATTATTTTCCTCAATGAGCCTAACCTTCTCAAAGGCACAATAACCAAACTGGCCTGTTAGCTAACTGCTGGCCTTTTTGCAAACTGCACCTATTTTAAAAATGGGTGTATTGGCACATGCATTTTAAAATAGTTTTTTCTTCCATTTCCTCTTATTCTAATAAATTGTATTTCTGCTTTTTAAAAATTTAAATCTAATGCTGTCTTCCTTATATTAGAGTAAATTTGCATAGAAACACTAATTGTCTTTTGTTCTTTGTGAGCATTGATAAATTCAGACCACACGTTGTGGATGTTATTCAAATGAGGGAGTGATTAAACACGTATGTTAACAGGTAGGGTAGGTCAGGGAAAAATTCAGAGGAGAGATGATAAATGATTGGTCTTATCAGAGGAGTTCAAGTGATAGATTAATTGCTTTCTAGGGAAATAGAATTCAGTGTGCAGAACTCATAGAGGCAGGATATTTAAAGTTATTTTGCAAAAATTTCATTTATAATTTTGATAAGGAACAGATTAAAAGACATTTAGGACTAAGTCAATAAAACTTGTTAATTGAAGGCAAGAGAAGAATCAAGTGTGACTCCTATATTTGGCCCAAGTAACTAGCTTTAAAGGATGTGCTATTGATTTAGAAGTATACGGGAAAAAAGTGAATTTATCAAAACTAGCTAAGTCCTGTTTTAGAAGTGTGTTTTTTTTTTTTTTTTTTTTTTTTTTGAGAGGTTTTTGCTATAGGGCACGTGCGCTCGCCAGACAGACAGAGACAGAGAGACAGAAAGTGAGAAATCATCCCCCAGGGGGGATGGCCATGCCGCAATCTCTTCTCCTCCATTCTCCTCTTGGGATCTTGGGCACACATGCACACGCGCCCGGTGTGAGTTTTAAGCCACCGGGTCTGGGACGTGAACCGCGGTCGACTATGTGGGAGTCCAGCAACAAAGCCATTACGCTAACTGCTGGTCCCTAGAAGTGTTGATTTTGAACTTTTAGGCTAGAGATGTGAAGTGTTTTATTGACTTCATGAAAGTTTGACTTTACATTAGTTCTAGTTCTGGTTTAATTTCTTTTTTTTTTTAAGAGAGATTTTTGCTATAGGGCGCATGTGCTCACTGGAGAGACAGAGACAGAAAGCAAGAAATCACCCCCCAAGGGGGATGGCCACACCACAGTCCCTTCTCATCTCTTCTTGGTATTTTGGGCATGCATACACATGCACCTGGCATGAATTTTAAGCCTCTGGGTCCAGACCCTACGGTTGACTATGTGGGAGTCCAGCGACATAACCGTTATGCCATCTGCTGGCCCTTCTGATCCCAATTTCTAAAACCTGGTACAAGTGAAGTTTCAGTTGTGCTACCAGATAACCTTGCATATGGTAAAAATGACTCCTGACAATTTGTTTGTCCCAGGACTGGAAGAATCTCTATGTGCATGGGGGAATGCCAGAATGGTACTCCCCACAGCTTTGTTCTTGGTCTGGTATCACTTTTCATTTACATATTCTTTTTATATTCAGAGACATTAAAAGTATACCAAATTTTCAGCACTTTTTTCTATATTTTAAATATGTGATGTTTTTCCTTTTATTTGGCTTTAGAAATCACATTTTTTAAAAAATTAAATTGTTTCCTGTAAGCCTAATTATGATCGTGAAATCTTTTTGTCCCAGAATTCCTCTTATCAGTGAGGCTCATTATACTTGCCTAGCTTTTAGTGCCGTTTTTCCTCTGCCTCTTATGTCCCGTTGCAGATTTCTAATAAACATTGTTTGCTAAACCTGCTTCTTCTTATCCTCTGTCCTTGTCTCCTGCCACTGATTGCTAATAATTCCTTTCTTTCTTTTTGCCTCTAGAGATTTTTGCCATAGGGCCGATGTGCTCACTAGACAGAGAGACAGAAAACGAGAAATCTTCTCATAGGGGGATGGCCATCCCGCAATCCCTTCTTTTCTACTCCCTTGAGATTTTGGGCATGCATGCACACACATGTGGTGTGAGTCTCAAGCCACCAGGTCTGAAACTCGCACCATGGTTTACCATGTCAGAGTCCAGCAATATGACCATTTTGCCATCTGCTGGTCCCAGGGCGTGTGTACGTGTGTTCCTGAGATCCCAAGAGGAGAATGGAGAAGAAAGGATTGTGGCCTGACCATCTCACCTGTGATGTGAGAAGTGATATCTCTCCCATTTTCTGTCTCTCTCTCTCTCTCTCTCTGTCTCTGGTGAGTATACTTGCCCTGTAGCAAAAAACAGAAAGAGTATTAACTGGGCCAGTATTTACAATATGCTTAGAATAGCACCTAACACATAGTATTTTGTAAATGTTTGCCAAATAAATAAAATTAATTCACATATATTTTCAAATATTATCAGATATTTTATACTACTTATTTATGATCTCATTAAAATGTACGTAATTTTAGATGATACCGTACATATTTGTAATTGAAAGTTTAGTCCATTCATATGCATTTTTGTCTTCCAGAGCTGCTTATCATCCAGAGTTTCCAACGGTTCTGACAGCCTTAGACATAGACAATGCGGTTGTTGCAAATAGCCTAATTGACATGAGGAGCATAGAGACAGTGCTACTAATCAAAGTAAGACCTGGCGCGTCCTGTATTTCACCTTGTTTTTAAATTTGCAAGACTGTAAGATGGTTATATAAATTCCTGTCCTGCTTTTATCACAGAATCGTGAATATATTTCCCCATTTTGTTTTTACTTTAAAAAATACATAGGGTAATCTAGAGCTGGTTGGTCTGTACATTTTCTGCCCCTGGGAACATTGTAACTTTTGGCTATTTTTAGTAAAGTAGTTTCATAGTGGATTTACTTCATTTTTGTGCATGATACTATAAAACGTTTTTATTCATTCTTCCCTGTGATGTTTTTATTTGCCCTTACAGATAGAGGTATATTATTGTATTTTTTAAATGAAGTACTTTACTTGATATCTTAGAATTTTTTAATATAGCTTTGTGCTGCATAAAATAAATCAGTTTATTCTCCATTCATGTATGTATTCTTATGTACTTGTTAGATTACTGTGTTTTGTTTCATCTACTAGCAAAACTTTGCTACTAAGGGATGGGGGTTTGAAACAAATCTGTAGTAAAGACTAACATAGACAGAGTCTGTTTTTCTCATTAATGGAAACTGAGAAGTAATGGGCTCAGTAATCCCAATGAGTATGTATACATGCTCATGTTATAATTACTTGTGGGTTTGGCTCTCTTTTATTTTAGAAGGATACTTGAAAGAAAATAATGAAGTCCTTTTAGAAAGGTCTGTCCCCAGAGAGATTGACCAGGCCTTGATTAAACCTAATCCCTTTTTTTTCCTCCAGGGCATAAATAGTTCCAGACTTTACTTATGTAAACGTGGATATCAATCTTTGATGGGAATATCCTATTTATGTGTGCCTTCTGTAGCATGTAAAAGTCATTTGGGAAAAATAGTCTGTATGAATTAGTCTAAAGTAAATATTTTCATGTTAAAGGTACTTATTATCCTATAGCATTAGAATTTAAAAAATAAAGTATGTTAATTTGTCATGAATGACTAAGTTGTTTTGAAGACTTTAGTTTTCATTTTTTGAAACTTGGAAGTGTTTTTAAACTTTTATATTTAACTTCATGGAATTATTCATTTGAATGTTTAAATAAGAATACCTAAATTAAAATAATTAGAATAGATAATTTGTTGAAATTGAGTACTTGAGAAATGCTTTCACATAGTTTTAAAAATGTATTTTCCTCTCCATTTTTTTAGAACAATTCTGTAGCACGTGCAGTAATGCAGTCCCAAAAACCACCCAAAAATTGTAGAGAAGCTTTTACTGCTGATGGTGATCAAGTTTTTCCTGGACGTTATTATTCATCTGAAAATACAAGACCCAAGTTCCTAAGCAGAGATGTAGATTCTGAAATAAGGTTGGAGTCAAGTTTAGCTTTGCTATATTATTTATTTGTTTGCTTGTCAGAAGGTGCATGTGCTCACTGGAGAGAAACAGAGAGAAAGAGACAGAAAGAAAGTGAGAAATTACCCCCCTCCCCATGGGGGATGGTCTTGCTGCAATCCTTTTCCCTCCATTCTCTTAGGATTGGGGGCATGCGTGCACATGCACATGTTACTTTAGATTTTCAAGCCACCAGGTCTGGGATTTGAACTGTGGTCAGCCATGTGAGAATCCAGTGCCTTAACCACTACACCACTTGCTGGCCCCAACTTTACTATTGAGTCGTCAGGAAAATCATCACACATTTTTGCGTAGAAAACAGAAAAATACGTCATGACTTTTCTGATGACCAAATATATTATTGCCATTGATTCCTTTGGGTTCATTTTTTAAAAATTATTTATTTTGCATTCATTCACTGAACATCATCACAGCATACAAGATGCAGTTTCCCATCCAGAATACACTGCATTGTGGCTTAGTCATACATGTTATCATCACAAGTAATTTGCCATTTCTTGTTTCATATATATATATATATAAAATCTTCCCCTCCATTTTTCACCCTCTGCCATATTCCACCCTCCTCCCACTCTATCTCTGGCATCTGCAATTGCTTTCCATTCCTTTTTTTTTCCTCCCACATTTTATTGGTTAACAAAATATCTTAATTGATCTAACCACTTTCAATAGCAAGTTCAGCTGATATATAAACATCTGTGAACAAAGGGTTCAGTTTCTTTCATATTACTCTTTTAGTGATTTTTTTTTCAGTGAACTATTAGTAATCATTTTGATGAGATTATGAAAGTAGCATGAAGAAAATAACTACAATGACTATTGAAAAGTTTAATCAGACTTTTTTATTTAGCATCAGAAAAAAGTTGAATGACCAACAGCTTGATGTTGTGGCACTTGGTTTTATTATCACAGTGCATTTTCCAGTTAGAATAATGAATAGTGAATGTGGCCTATATTGTTACTTAACTTGTAAGCAGGCCCCTGGAGTATTACCAGTGTAGTTCATAAACATAAAATATTACTTGTGGATTTCTTGTTTATTTATTTATTTTACTCCCAGAGGGTGTAAGTTAACGAGAGACAGACAGATGGAAAGATGGAGGGAGAGATAGAAAGCAACCCCCGTTGGGCTCCTGCTACAATGTCTTCATCCTGTTGGGGTTGCGGGCATGCACACACATGCACTGGTGCTTTTCAAGCTGCCAGGGCCACGGTTTGAACCACATAGTTAGCCACATGAGCTCCAGTTCCCTTAACCACCAGGCTGTGGAGCCAGCCTTTTTTGTTCACATGTGATTTCATTTAGTTACTGTCTTAGTACATCTGGCTCAGAAGGTTTATATATTATTATTATTATTTTTACCTTCTTTGTTTCTTAACAGGCGTTTTGTTATTTCCACTGCAGAGAGATCTTTCTTGGTATGACAAAGCATTTTTTTGTAGATGGAACTCAGGCTACCTATTTGTTTTCAGAGTGGGATCTCATACATGCTCTCTCCATAAGGCTATTCTGGCTCCAGACTTTTGTGTGCAGTAACCTCCAACTTGGTCTTCAAATTCTGACTCATGAGTATAGGACTTGGTGCCTCACCAATCACTTGATGAAGTTTGCCTTCATATATAATTACAGGGCCATCTGAAGTTTCTAAAAGAAGATGCTTTAACCCAATATATCATTGTTGTCTTCTTCAGATCTCAATTCCACTTCATCCTCTTACATATCAAAAAATAAATGCAATCTGGCATTTTTATGTAATGCATAGTATGTCTGCCCCTTTTACAATCTATTCAGCCTTTTCGTATTTGCTAAAGTATTCCTTAGTGTCCACCTCACTTTCATCTCTCATGGTACTTGCTTCATTGCCCTTTTTACCTTCATCACGCCCCCTCCGGTTTTGCTATTGAATTGCTTTATCTACTTCAGCACTAGGCACTGAAATGAGGGTGGGAGTTGGAGGATGTTTTTTGGGGAAGGCCTCTCACATTTATCTCTCAGTTCAGCTGTATCATCAGTTGATAAATCATCCTCCTCGCTTTCAGAGAGGGGAGCCAACTTTTTAAGATAGGATCTTTGTGTGTTGCAGTCCTCCCTGTCTTAGCCTCCCAGCAGGGACTACAGATGTGCCTCACATGTGGGTCTCTTTCAGACAGGGTCTCACTATGTGCTTAGGCTGGCCTTGAGCTTTGTGGCCCTCCTGCCTTAGCTGCCTGAGACGCTGGGATTGCAGGCATGTGCCACTGTGCCTAACCTTTAGGTTGGGACAGGAATTGCACCTGGGCCTCCCATGTGTGTGGTTCCAGCCTGCCAAGCCCAGTGGCTTAGCAGCTTGCACTACTGTAGCTGGGCCATTTGTGAACTTCTGAATTGGCAAAATGATGTAACATTTTAATATAATTTTCTGACATATATTTTTCAGTTTTTATTCCTTTTAAAAATATTTATTTTCTCAGTATTATTATTGTTATTACTTAAGTTTGCCAGAGGACAAGTGTGCCTGCCAGAGAGAAATAAAAAGAGTGAGAGAGAAAAAGAATGAGAGAGAGGAAAAATAGAAAAGCACCATTTATGGGGCATGGTTATGCAGTCCCTTCTCCATTTCTCCCTCCATTTGGAATTTATGTCCATGTTATGGACACACACATGCCTACCATGTTTCTCAAGCCACGGGGTCTGAGATTTGAACTGTGTGGTCATTTATGTGAAGTTCATCTGCCTTAATCACCAGGCCATGGGCTGGACCTTCTATTGTTCTTTTTATTTGTTCTTTCAAACAACAGATTTTTTTTTTTTTAAGAGGTTTTTGTTACAGGGCGTGTGCATTCGCCAGACAGACAGAGACAGAAAGTGAGAAATCACCCCCATGGGGGATGGCCACGCCACAATCCCTTCTCCTCCATTCTCCTGTCGGGATCTTGGGCATGCACGCAAATGCGCCCAGCGTGAGTTTTAACTCACCGGGTCTGGGACGCGAACTGTGGTTGACTACGTGGGAGTTCAGTGACATAGCCATTATGCTAACTGCTGGTCCCCAAACAACAGATCTTAAAGGAGTATCTAATGTGTTAAGCACTAATCTAAATATGAGATAAAGCAGGGAACAAAATAAACAAAATTTTATTCATGGAGCTTAAATTAAGGGAGAGGGGATTATAAAGAAATAATGGGTCAAGGCCAGAAGATGGTGTAGTGGTTGGGGTGTTGTACTCTCACGTGTTGACCACAGTTCGAATCCTGAACCTGGTGGCTTGAAACTCACCCAGGGTTCATGTGCATACATGCCTGAAATCTCCATAGGAGGATGGAGGAGCCTTGGGGAATGACCATCCTCTAAGGGATGATGTCTCACTTTCTGTTTCTTTATCTCTGTGGTAAGCGCACATGCCCTATAGCAAAATCTCTTCCTCAAAAAAAGAAAAGAAATGCTGGGTTAGTGGTGATCAGTGCAGTGGAGACAAAGCACAGGACAGGGCAAAGAGTATAAGGAACACAGCATTTTAAATAGGCTGCCAGAAAACATGTATTCATCCCAGATAAACAAGTCCCATCCTCAACTCAGGGTTAATACATCTTTCATTAGGTAGCAAGTGTTCTTTTGCTGTGTAAAAACTAATTTAAAGGGTCCAGCAGGTGGCGTGGTGAATTCCCACATGGCTGACTGCAATTTGAGTTCCGGACCTGGTGGCTTGCTTTCTCACGTCCTCTCTCTCTCTCTCTCTCTCTCTCATATACACACATACTCTAGTCAAAATAAAAAATTAAATTAAATTAAATAATTCTTTTTTAAAAGACTAATTCAAAACGAAGGAGGAACTTTATATAAAAGTGTGTAATTTAGTTTTACTTAACACAAAGGAGTTTGTAAAATTAAGCCATTTTGTTAATGCAGGTTATGTCAATTGCATAGATTTATTCTAAATGTTCAGAACATTTAATAATACTATCTTTGCTTATTTTGCTGGTGTTTAATTTTGATTTAGGCATTAGGTTCAAAATTCATTTACTTGGTAAATTTTCTTAGATTTGTAGCAAAATTATTTTTTGCTAATAAGGGTATAGATTTATACAAGGGGACTTTTAAAAGTTAATGGAAGAACAAACAAGTATAAGTTTATTTTCTTGTGGAAACTTGAAATCCATGCATTTTTTAAAATAATATGTACTTTCCATGAACTTTTTGAAGACTCCTTATGTATGATAAATATTTCATATTAAATCTTTAGGAACCATATTGAATATTGCGTCTGGTCCCATTTTTATCAGAAATGACTTAACCGGACCATCTCAGTGATGGAACAGACAAGTATAAGTTTATTTTCTTGTGGAAACTTGAAATCCATGCATTTTTTAAAATAATATGTACTTTCCATGAACTTTTTGAAGACTCCTTATGTATGATAAATATTTCATATTAAATCTTTAGGAACCATATTGAATATTGCGTCTGGTCCCATTTTTATCAGAAATGACTTAACCGGACCATCTCAGTGATGTTAAGTGATGGTTAAAGCGACTAGATCCCACATGGCTGACTGCACTGCACAGTTTGAGTTTCCTGCCCAGCAAACTTGAGAAACATTCTGGTTGCGTGTGCATGCACACTAATATCAAAATCCCAAAAGAAGGGACTGGTGGAAGAGAAGGGATTGTGGCATGAGCATTCCCCCATGAAAGGGATATTTTCTTACTTTCCACTTTCTCTCTGGTGAGGCCATGTGCCCCCTGTCGAAGGAATGAAAGAGAGAGAGAGAAGAAAGAAAGGGTTTAATTCTTCTCCTTCCCTACTTATTATTCATTTATCATTATTTTCATTTGTCATTCACTCTCATATCATTTACTTTCAGCTAACATTTGAGGACTTTTTTTAATAATTTGGAAATTCTAGCAAAGTAGCTCAATTATTTTATGTACCAGTAAATATTTTATATACTGCTATTTTATGTGCCAGTAAAAAAGAAGAAAAAATGCTGCTAATTGAACCGTGGACTAGAAAGCAATTTTAGGTTTTAGAGATGCTGAATGTGGAAAAATACATATCTTAGTAAATGTGGCCTATGCTGTTGGCCTAAGACATCTTCCTTACTGAGAAGATGGTTCTCTTCCGCCAAGCTCACAGCTTTCAAAGACAGGTGCTTGGACCAGTGAGGTATGAAAAGATCACTTCTGAAGCCAGTTAACTACTGCACAGAGTTCCCTTTGTGGCTTTGACATCTGTTCAGCTTCCTTCACCAGCTCTGCTTTTATCTTTCCCTTCACTCTCTCTGTCATTCTTAGCATTTATTCATCAACAGTAAATGCTGACTTACTAGTTTTGTCTGTTTTCATCTCTGTGCCTTTGTGGATATCTTCCCTTCTTCCGTAGTTGGTCCATCTGATGAAAACTTTAGATAATAAATGTAACTCGCTGTATCTTCTCCCAGGCTAACTCTTACTTTCCCATAGTACTGTGGATGTGCAGTGTAGTTTTCTCTTCACATTTTACGGCAATGATTTAGTTCCTGATTCTTTTAGATTTGGGGGAATAATGTCTTAACTCTGTTTCTCCCTCTGTTTACCACCATGCACAATACCTGGTACATAGAAGTCATGTCAAAAATTCTTGTTAATGAAATAAATAAAACTTTACTTCAGCTTAGAAGATGTTTTTAAAATTTCTGTAATAGATTTTCATGTTATTTAATAACTTAGTAGGATTATAGAACTTGTTTAATTGAATAGAAACTTACAAATAAGTATTAAAAATGAACCTTTCTTTATAAAGATCTAAAGTATTTGTAATATTGAGAAATGGATTTAAAGTGTTTTTTTAATCCTCTCTTCATCAAGTGACTTGGAGAATGAGGTTGAAAATAAGAAGGCTCAGATAATAAATCTTCAGCAACATTTGTCTGCCCTTGAAAAAGATATTAAACGCAATGAAGAACTTCTTAAAAGGTGCCAACTAAATTGTAAAGAGTTGAAGGTAAAATAATAAATTTTTTCTTTTTCAACTTATCAGTTCCATATTTTAAGATCCTATCATTTAGGGCCAGCTGGTGGCATAGTGATTAAGGCGTTGGACTCCCGTGTGGTCCAGTGCGATTTGAGTTCCTGACCTGGCAGTTTGCTTTCTCATTTTCTCTCTCATTCACTCTCTGTTTGTGAGAAAGACACAGTCTCTGGTGAGCTTGCGTGCCCCACAGCAAATTAAAAATGATGATGATAATAAATAGAATTAAATAAATTATTCTTTGAAAAATAACCCTGTCATTTATTTTAAGCAGGTGTTAGGTCAGACATTTTTGCCTAAAGCCCTTTACACTCTATTTTTTTTTTTTTTTTTTTTTTTTGTCTGGAGAGGTTTTTGCTATAGGGTGCATGCACTTGCCAGACAGACAGCGACATAGAGACAGAAAGTGAGAAATCACCCCCCACGGGTTTGGCCACGCCACAATCCCTTCTCCTCCATTCTCCTCTCAGGATCTTGGGCACGCACACACACGCGCCCGGCGTGAGTTTAAGCCACTGGGTCCGGGACTTGAACTGCGGTCGACTACGTGGGAGTCCAGTGACATAGTCATTACGCTAACTGCCGGCCCCGCCCCTTTCCACTCTTTAAAGGAGCTTTCATTCATGTCGGTTATCTCTTATCAATATTTACATTTTAAAAATAAAAAAAAATTACGAATATTAATTCAGTTAAAAATAATGAAGTCATGATAACATAAATAATATTTTTATGAAAAATACTTTTCAAATGTAAAAGCAAAATAGTGAAAAGATTAACTTTTTAATATTTTTTATACATTTCTAGTATCTGGTTTAATAAAATTTACTGAATTTTAGAAGCTATTATATTCAGTCTGTTGCACTATTACACATTATATGGTTATAAACCTGTACATTTATGAGAAAATGCTAGTAAAAATGGCGAGGAATGTCTTGATGTTTTCATGAAAATAGTTTTGACCTCATGGACCCTCTGAAAGGGTCTCAATAGTCCTCAGGAGTTATGTAGGTTTGACTGTGGATGTTTCAGGAAAATGTTTTCTCTGCAGATTCAACAATGTCATTTGGTTCTAAGTGCTCAAATGGATTATTTACAATTTTCCTGCCATGGCAATGGATTAGCAATAAGGGTGATTAAGAAAGAATTTCTACAGAACTTCCTTTGGTTTATTTAATACTAGTGTATTCATTTTCTTAATTATGTCTTTCAGATGAAAATGAGGAAAAGTATTTCTGAAATTCAGGAACTTGAGAATATAGAAGAACACCAGTCTGTTGACATTGCAACCTTGGTAAAATTATTTTCTAGTTAAAGTCATGTAATATTAAAGGATAAAACCATCATTTGCTTCAATGGAATTAGCTCTCAGCTCTTTTTTTTTTTTGATACTAAAAGAATTTAACTAAAATTTGAAGCTACAATGTTATGATTACCACCTCTATTTACAAACAAGACAGAAATTACCTCATGTATATAGCCTTCAAATTTCTCAATATTTTGCGTGGATAGCTTGCATGCATAATAATGGACTTTGTCTTCTACCAGATGAAATAAAACTTTATTAAAACTTAATTGTACTTCTAAAACAATGGCCCATCAAATTGAACTGCTTAGCACTGTGGTCTTCACATGGGCACTCAGGGTTAAGCAGTATCACTATTGAACAGACATAGATAGCAGAGCCATCGTTTTGTCAGTACTTGTAGTTGGTCTCTTGACAGCGTTTTCTTTTTTCCAGGTTAATGGTTTTCATTTTAATTCACCTTGTATTTGTTATTCTGTATTTTTTTCCCTGCATTTGTTTATGACATTCAGCTTGTTTTTTCTGAGTTGACGTAAACAGTGAATTAGATAAATTGCAGTTTCTTGTTGAAATGACTAGTATTTATTAAGTATCTACTCTGTATCGGACAGTATATTAAGTACTGAACAAAACAAGCAGTTACTGTGCTAATGAAGCTTTACACTAATAAGGATTTGTTTTTTACCAATAATCTTGGTTTCCATTTTCTCACTTTTTAGTTTATTGATAGACTAAATTTCTTAGACATGGACTGTTTATTACTGATTGTTATTTACCTAGTATTAACACATTGTTTGCATGAGATTAATATTCATATATATTTGGACAAAAAAGTGAGTCTATAAAATAAAAGGTATTTCTTTTTGATATCAAGTACAATATTGTTTAATTTGGCTACTGTTACTCTTTCTTATTTTTGAACCTTTTTTCTTCTACTTCTTAATTTATCATAAGGCTATGAAACTATCTAGTGTTCTTTGTGTTTATTTTTTATCTCATTTGGCTATAGCCTATAGTTTCTCCTCTCAGAATTGTTTATATACTTTTTTTCCTGTTTGATAACTTAAATATCTTAATTAACTATTTGCTTTTTAAATGTTTTCAGGAAGATGAAGCTAAAGAAAATAAAAGCAAAATGAAAATGGTTGAGAAAAATATGGAGCAACAAAAAGAGAATATGGAGCATCTTAAAAGTCTGAAAGTAGAAGCAGAAAACAAATATGATGCAATTAAACTGAAAATTAATCAACTGTCAGAGCAAGCAGATCCACTTAAGGTATCTATTGTTAGTCTGATATATATGTATTTTTATGTTTATAGATATTTTTTATTTTATGTGTGTTTATACACATTTTTTCATTTATGGGTATGTATCTGTTTTAAAATGGCACTTTCAAAAATTTTTTATTTATATTTAGTAAACTTCACTCTAGGATTTTGACAAGTATGTAAAATTATATATCTAATACTACAAACAAGAGACCCACCATCTTGCCAGGTTTTTGTCATTCTATCTCTTTCTAGTTAGATCTTCCTCATCCTTTCTCTGGCAATAACTGATCTGCTTTCCATCATGGTAGTTTTGCCTTTTATATGATATTATATAAATGGAATCCATATAACTATATAAACTTTTGACTCCTGCTTCTTTTATTTAGTGTGGCAAATTTGAGACTTATCCATATTATTATGGGTATGACTAGTTTATTACTTTATATTACTAAGTAATAATTCTGTTTTATGGATGTAGCACATTTTCTGTTCATCTATTGAAGAACGTTTGGGCGGTTTCCAGGTCTGGTATTTATGAATAAAACTACTATAAACATTCAAGTTACAGGTTTTTGTGTAAACATAGGTTTTCATTTCTCTTTTCCAAATATTTAGCAGTGGGATTACTATTGAAATAATCATGGTTTCTTTCTTTATTAATTTGGAGAATAATGTTGGTCTTTTGTCAGATACTAGGAAATCCTGTTTATAATTATCTCCCTTTTGGTAAATGATTGTATTCTCTTTGTCAAAATGTTATTAAGGATCTTTTGTCCTATGTTTAAAGGGTGTGATTTACTTTTCTTGGGTTATTTTAGTCCGCTTTTGGTATTATGGCTATGTTGGATTAATCAAAAGAATTCAGAAGTATTTTGTTTTCTGGAAGAATTTTTCGATTGGATTTTTTTCTTCTTTTTAAGAGTTTTAATAGACTCCACCATTGAAGTCATTTCGGTCTGTAGTTTTCTTGTGAAGTCTTTGAGTATGAATAAATTCCCATTAGTTCATAAAGAGTTGTTCAAGTTTTATCTCCCCTTTTTATTTTAAAAAGTATGCTTAGATCAAGCAAAAATTACATTGTAGGATAATTCTAAATGCCTGTAGAGGAACTTCATAAGAAAGTTACATTAAAAAAATGGGAAGGGGATAAGGAATACAAAGGGAGGTAAGATTTTTTATTTTCCTCAAACTGGTAAAATAGCGACACTAGTAGATTGTGATATTAGGTGTATAATATAACACTTAGAGGAGCTACGAAGAAAGCTGTACAGGGAGACACTCTTAAAACACTATAGACAAATCCTAAAAACAATGTCTAGGTTATCCTCATGAAGCTGAAAACAGAAGAAAAAAAAAAGGAGGAGGAAAAAAAATAAAGTGACATATTGTAAGTCCATATTAGCCTTTAAAAACTTAAAAACATGGACCAGCAGATGGTGTAGCGATTACACCACTGGATCCCCACATTACTGACCATGGTTCGAGTGTCAGAGTGAGTGGCCTGAAACTCAGGCTGGACGAGTGGGTGCGTGTGTATTGTGTGTGTGTGCCTAAGGTCCTGGGAGGAGGGTGGAGGAGAAGGGATTATTATGTAGCCATTCTCCCTTAAGGGTGATTTCTCACTTTCTCTCTCACTGCCTCTGTCTTGCTCTCTCTCCCTTGAATAATTACATTAAAAATAAATGATCTAAATACACCAATTGAAAGACAGAGGCAGGGTAAATTAAAGCTTGGCTATCTGCTATCCATAAGAAACATACTGAAGGGAGGCCAGACAGTGGCACAGCGGTAATACATTGCTTTGCAAGGCAGAGCTACATAGAAAGATTTTGCATTCATGTCTGGAGAACTCCCTGAACATGCCGGGTATGTAGTGTGTCCACGATCTGCGAGTGGATCATAATGCTTCTTCAAGCAGCATAATCCTTGTTGCTTTATTAAGTTGTTAATTGGTTTTATAACTATGCTAGAAATTTTTTATAAAACAGCCTTCTTTATAGATTATTTGGGCTTTATTTAAACAGGACGAATTAAATCTTGCTGATTCCGAGGTGGACAACCAAAAACGAGGGAAGCGACATTATGAAGAAAAACAGAAAGAACACTTGGACACCTTAAATAAAAAGAAACGAGAACTGAATATGAAAGAAAAAGAACTAGAGGTTATCTACCAGTTTTCTTTCTTTCAGGTTATTTTATTTACAGCCTTAGTCATGATTTCTAAAGTGTGCTTTCTCTAATATCATGTTTCCAGAAACAGACAAGTAACAGGTGTTTGGGTAAATCAACAGAAGAGGCTTCAGGACCCTCAAGGTGTAAGGCCTTAAATTAGTCAAACGGTGAAAGTCCCAGATCTTGCCTCTGAGTGATTTAGAAACTGGAAGTCTCCCTGCTAACATGACTCCGTAGATGCCCGTTTGGCAAGCAGACACCCACTTTGTGTCGGAAAAGGCACCCCTTCTCTGAGTAGTTGGATTATGGGCCTAGCTCATCCTAGCCATGCCTATTAGCAACTGTAACCAGTGGCTCTGCTTTTACAAGAGATGGATTCCAACTCCATAGTCCATTTTCTTGTTTAAGACTAGAATACAGAATATTCTTTTTTTTTTTCAGAATATTCTTGATGTACAGTAAGTACTATGTGTGAAAGTGCTTTGTATTTTTTAATCCCTTTTCAAGCATGAGGGTCCTTTGTGTTTTCAGTACCTTTGGTGTTCAGAGTTCGTCTTAAAGCACATGGGAAGCTGTGTCTGACATTGGCATCTTAGGTGCCAAACTTTTTGTAACTTTCTTTAAATTTATTTTGCTAGGAAATTGTAGAGATTATAATTTATTGAAGTTATACCCAGTAATACAGTTTTTTCTTGAAGATTTATAATGATTCTAGACTGTAGTTGATATAAAGCCTAGATGAATTATATTGATAGTACATGTATTTTAAATCATAGTTCAGAATTCTATATTTTGGCACACGTAGTTTAGTGCATTATTATATCAAAGAAGTGTTCTAAAAATATTAAACATCTATTTTCTTAGGAGAAAATGTCACAAGCAAGACAAATCTGCCCAGAGAGGATAGAAGTGAAAAAATCTGCATCAAATCTAGACAAAGAAATTAATCGTTTAAGACAAAAGATACAGGCAGAACATGCTAGTCATGGAGATAGAGAAGAAATAATGAGGTAAATGGTTGGTGGTTTTTCTGCCTTTTTATATTATCCGTGATTATTATCAATACATAAAGAAGAACTGTTTATATATGAAATTTGAATTGGGCTGAAGTGTTACTATGATAGTTATAACTGGACTAATTTTTTATATGTATGCTATTAACAATAAACTAACCTTTTTTCTTCTGAATTATCACAAAACTCATGGAAAGACATTTTAACATAAACTCCTCTTTTATGTCTATAAGGTTTATGTAGATATGCACATGTTTGGCTTCACAAGTAATCAGAGAAATGTAAATCAAACCATCAGAAGCCATTTTTCAGATATATCAAGGGAATAAGATTTTAAAAATACTCTAAGACAATGAGGCGGGACCAGCAGTTGGCATAATGGCTATGTCGCTGGACTCCCATGTAGTTGACTGTGGTTCGTGTCCCAGACCCGGTGGCTTAAACTCACGCCAGGCGCGTGTGCATGCATGCCCAAGATCCCGAGAGGAGAATGGAGGAGAAGGGATTGAGGCGTGGCCATCCCCCCTGGGTTTGATTTCTCGCTTTCTGTCTCTCTGTCTCTTTCTGTCTTTCTGGTGAGTGCATGTGCCCAATAGCAAAATCCTCTCCAAAACAAACAAAAAAAGACAATGAGGTTTCAGTGAAATGAATATTTTACAGTACAAAAATGTAAATTATAATGTAAATAGAGCACAGTTTTTGAAGAAAGGATGCCTTAGTTGAATTGAAATTCTACTAACTCACACACTTGAGCAAATTCTCTTCTCTCTCTGAACCTTAATTTCCTCATCTACAAATGGGAATAATTGTTAAACTTAACTTTTATGTCTGTTATGAAGATTAGGAATCAGAATATGTATAAAAAATAATACACTATTATTACTGAAACCTTTCTGAAAAATATTTAGACAGTAAATGTCAAAATGTTTTGACAAAATAATTTGGCAAAATTTAAATTGTCGAATGATTTTTTTTGCTAAAAGACAAAATGAGAAAAATTATTTAGGCTCATAGATGTTTACTGCAGCATTATTTATAACCGAAAGATTAGAAATAGTGTGTAGCTGTTAGAAAACATTTAAAAGTACAGCAAAAAATTACAGGTAATAACATTTTACAAAGAACTTTTTATATATAAAAAAAGGTTGAAGATGAGAGTGAGCTCAATTTTATTTTCGAAGAAACATAAAAATAGAGAAGTTTTGGGCCAGCAGGTTACTTGGTGGTTAAGACACGGATCCCACACTGCTGACTTCTCTGTTCGAATCTTAAAACCAGCAACATGCAATCATGCTGCATGCATGAGCTTGTGTGGCCAAAATCCTGAAAAAATGGAGGATTGCGGCATGACCTTCCCTAATGGGTGGTGATTTCTCACTTTTGCTCTCTTCTGTCTCTTTTACAGTGTTTAGTCATCTTCTTTTGATAACTAGATTTTTGTTTGTTTTCTTTTTTATTGTTTTCTTTTTGGCGCTACAGGGCATGTGTGCTTGCTGGAGAGAAAGAGAGGCAGAGAGAAATTAACCCTTTGAGGAGGATGACTACACTGCAGTCTTTTCTCCATTCTCCTCTTGGGATTTTGGGTATGCACACACATGCACCTGGCCTGTTTTTCAAGCTTCTGGGTCTGGACCGCCCAACTTTGCAATTGGCCATGTGGGATACACCTCCCTAACAACCATGCCACCTGCTGGCCTGGAGCTGGAGTTTCTAATGCTGACCCTGCATTCTTATGTTCCCTTACTGGCATTTGTCACTAAGGGAAACTATCCTTCTGGTGTGACTCCTTCACTTGTAGAAGGTGTATATTTATTAGCATTGTCTGAGATCTGTCACCTCCTCCCCACCTCCATCCTCACACTAACTTTTATACTTCTGTGCCTCCTCTAGGGCTTTGACCGTATTCCTTCCCAGTTGGGTTAGCATTCTTGGCTAGGAATGTATTTTGACTGCAAATTTATGAAACTGGCTTCTACTAGGCCCCTTCAGCATTCCTTGCTCCATCTTTTCTCCCTGGTTGAATACATCTGAGATTTTACTTTTTTTTTTTTATGAATGACACTTATTTGCTTAATATTTTGTTCATAAAATAGGCAGTACCAAGAAGCAAGAGAGACCTATCTTGATCTGGATAATAAAGTAAGGACTTTAAAAAGGTTTATTAAATTATTGGAAGAAATAATGACCCATCGATACAAAACATATCAACAGTTTAGAAGGTAAGTTCATTAAAAAATATTACTGTATACTTATTTGCATTCTCTTTTTTTTAAACATTATCCTTTATAAATAGTTGATAAAAGAGCTTTACATAATTTATTTATAACAGAGACTATTAGTGATTGCTTTGTCATTTAGGATTATATTATTAGAATTCCAAATTTGAATGACCTTTGGCAAACTTATTCTGCTTTCACTCTGTGATATGCCTTTTACTGTCTAACTCATAGATGGTTGTTTATTGCTTAAATAGGTCCTTTGAATAGCGAGTTCGTTGGTTCAGAAACAACCTAGATCATCCTCGGATATTGTCTGTTCTTAAGGGATACATGTTTGGTAGGACCTGTTGAAGCAGTATCCCAGATGATTGACCTGACCTGCTAGAATGATAGAGCTCCGTGAATGCAGAAACTCTGTTTTGTTTACTGCTTTATCTTCAGTGCCCGTAACTGTAATTTGCCTTAAATACAGTAGGCACGTGATATATATCAGCTGAATGAATGATAGAATACAGACAGGATCCGGGAAACTGGATGTTATTAACATGCCCAGGGATGTGCAGACTTGCAGGGATAGACTGACCTCAACTAATATCACACGTGGTAGAAATAATGTAGAGGACAATCAGGAGGACAACACAGTATTTTTCAAAGTTGTATATAGCACACATGCATTGACAAAGCAGGTGTGGTACCTGCTTACTGTAATTACAAAAAATATTTCTTCTTTAAAAATAAAAATTGGGACTAGCAATTAGCGTAATAGCTATGTCGCCGGACTCCCATGTAGTTGACTGTGGTTCGAATCCTGGACCCAGTGGCTTAAACTCACGCTGGGTGCGTTTGCGGGCGTGCCCAAGATCCCAAGAGGAGATGGAGGAGAAAGGATTGCGGCATGGCCATCCCCTCTGGCGGGTGATTTCTCTCTTTTTGTCTCTCTCCCTCTGTCTTTCTGACGCGCGCACACGCCCTATTGTAAAAACCTCTCAATACACACACACACACACACACACACACATATATATTTTTTTTAAATAAAAATGGAGAAATAGCCCACAATATACTTAAGATCCAAGGCAGTCCTCATCCTTCTATATGTCTCTGTTTTTCCAGTGGCTTTTCCTCAGTAATGTGTTTTTTAGGAGCTATTTTTGCTATAGAGTACGTGTACTTGCCAAAGAGAGAGAGAAAGTGAGAAATAATCCCCCAGGGGTCATGGCCATGCTGCAGTCCCTTCTCTTCCATTCCCCTCTTGGGATTTTGGGCATGCATGCACACACGTCCAGTCTGAGTTTCTGGTTGCCAGGTCTGGGGCTTGAACTACCATTAGCCATGTGAGGATCCGGCATCTTAACCACCATGCCACCTGCTGGCCCCAGTAACATGCTTTTTAACTTTCTATACTGAGATCTCTATAATATTAAGATGTAGAAATAATAAATGTATTCCTAGCTCGAGTACATATGAAGAAATTTAGATAAGATCCTAAAGAGATAATGCTTGGCTGTATTCCTTTATCTATCTTATTCATTTAAGTTTTCTATAGGGCATTTGTGTTCACCAGAGAAAGAAAGAGAGAAAGTAAGAAAGTAAGCCGCTAGGTCCAGGACTCAAACTGTGGTCAGCTGTGTGTGAGTCCAGCACCCTAACCACCACACCACTTTTTGGCCCCTTGGCTGTATTCCTCAACTAAAGTTTAGGTTAGTTCTTGAAATGTGCATTTTATGCTAGGACATGAATTAAATAGGATTTATCTTTATCTTTTTGAGGCTGCTTTTAAGCTTGTAAGTGGAAATAGAGCAGTTTTTATTCAAGGGCTAATTTTGTCCTACTTCCGAGTTCATACTCTGAGTACTCTCCCACTGCCTCGTAAATTACGAGGTTTTTGCACTAGTTCGTGGGCACTTGAACTATTCTGGACTCGGTGTGAGCTTTGGGGATTGCTTCTGCTTCTTATGGGTATTTCTTTCCCCACCTTCAGGGAGTGTCCTTACACACGTGCACTGAGGAGTGCTCAGCTGGACCAGAACCTTTCACTGGTCCTCTAGACTTCCCTGTGTGCTGTTCTCTCCTCTCTGCTTTGTTAACCCAGGCCTATTACAACACATATCTTCCAGATACAGAAGGATTTGTTCTTATATTATTACCCAGTAATTGTATCTATTTATTTACTTATTTTTGTAAATTATGGTGTTGGGACTAGATGGTGACATAGGAGTGAAAAATGATCCTCTGAGATACTGATCCATCTGGGAAGATGCTGGGTTTGTATCTAGAGACCATCCCAAGTACATCTGGACACACATACGGCATAAGCCAGGGCTGACTGAGCCTGGGGTTGCACCGTGGCAGCAAGGCCCTTTTGGGGGTGCTGTCTTTCTTTCTCTCTCTCTCTGAAGAAATAAGTAAACTTTGAAAAAACAAAAGAAAAACTGTTGATCTTATAGATGATTACCTTGATATGATTCTTCGCCACTGACATTTTTTATATTGTATACCCAGTCTTAAAAGAATAAAAAAAATTAAATCTGGGGCCAGCAAGTGGTGTGGTAGTTAAGGGCACTGGACTCCCACATGGTTGACCACGGTTTGATTCCCAGACCTGATGGCTTGCTTTCTCACTCACCCTCACACACACACACACACACACACACACACACACACACACTGTCCCTATTTGGTCAAAATTTAAATAAATAAATAAAGTTAAATAAAATAATTTTTTTTTTAAAAGATAGAATCTTTTAAATAATGTATCTCTACTTGGGAGAACCTTGCCATTATATGACAACAGTCTCTTTTAGACATTCCATGAATGGAAGCAGTTGAAGAATACGTATCAATATTGAAAGGAAGAGAAGTTAACAGAAAATTCTGAAACGAGGAGCCAGCAGATGGAATAGCAGTTATGTTGCTGGACTCCCACATGGCCAATCATGGTTCAAGTCCTGGACCCGGTGGTTTGAAACTCATGCCAGGCATGTGTATGTGCATGCCTAAGATCCCAGGAAGAGAATGGAGGAAAAGGGATTATGGCATGGCCATCCCCCCGAGGGGTGATTTCTTTCTGTCTCTCTCTCTCTGGCGAGTGCATGTGCCCTATAGCAAAAATCTCTTAAAAAAAAAATTCTGAAACCAACCAGCAGTAGTTGCTTTGGCAGCAAAAGAAAACTTGTGCTTATCAGTATTTTCTAATGTGGGAATTTAATGCAGTTCAGGGAAGGAAGTAGAGTAGGAAATAATAAAATGAGTTGCTCTGGAAAAGGTGAGCCTTAGATTTATTAAGGAGCAAAGATATTAAGAAAAATAGCCAGTGACCTGTCACCCAAGATCTTATTTTCTAAATACTTTTTCCCACTAAAAAAGAACCCCAGGACTCCATGGAGAAAGGTTGATTTTAGAGCTGAGAAGGGAAGGTACAAGAAAGAAGAAGGTGCTAAAAAAACAAACTGGTAAAACTGATAAAAGGACACAGCTTGAAGAGACTCCCATTAGTAAAATCTGAAACAGTTTTAGGATTAGAATAAAGGTAGTAATGGATGCTATGAATAAAATAAAAATGAATCAAATGAATAAAGTAATCTCTAACTTCATTTTGATATATGGAAGCGTAGATGAATACTGAAGAAGAGACTGTTCTTTCCAGTGAAATGCCATCTAATTAATGAGTAGGGAAGGGATGGTACAGTTTGTGTTCAGCCGAATGTAAAGCATTGTAGATATGCAGTGATTAAGAGCTTGACTTTACCTTTTTTGCTACTATGAAGTTGGGAAGAGAAACAAATGAATAGGTAGTTTATCCATTTATCTTATTACCTCTAGAGCTTAATCCTATCAAAAACAAGATTTATGTCTTATGTTTTAGGGTAATGCTTTACATAAATGAGTTGAATGATTGACACATTTATGTGAACTGACTGGTATAATGGGCTCCGCTACATTTGGGATGACATATCTCTTTTTATTTAAATGTATATGTTTAGTAAGTAAGCAAAGTGGTAAAAATATGGGGATAAAAACAAGTAATAGGCATGGGGGAATAAATCACCTAAAACACCTAAATTAGGAAACCACTGTCAGCATTTTGGTGTATTTCCATGTGGTCTTATTAGGTTGGTGGTGCAAAAGCAATAGTGGTTTCAGACTGGAAATTTTAAATCATTATAATTAGCCTTAAACACATCTTTATTAATCAAAACAGAACCACTACAGTCAGCATATTTTGCCAACGAGGAATAGGTTTGTTTATTCCTGTAGCATAAATATCTGTGTTTCGAGATTTGATGAACCATTGGAAAGCATCTTCTGTGTCCTACAGGTTGTGAAAATGTTTTCTCTGCAAAAAGTTGTTGACATGCTTGAAGACATGGTAGTTTCTTGGCAAGAGGTCAGATGAATATGGCAGATGAGGCAAAACTTTGTAGCCCAATTTGTTCACCTTGGAAACGCTGGTTGTGCAACATGCAGTTGAGTGTCGTGAAGAACTGGGCCTTTCTCTTGACCAGGCATCGCAGTTTTCAGCACACCTCCTCAGGTTGCTGAGTGTGCTTCACAGATGTAATGGTTTTGCTGGGATTCAGAAAGCCATAGTGGGTCAGACCCCACCAAACAGTTACCGTGACCTTTTTTGGGAGCCAGTTTGGCTTTGGGAAGTACTTGGAGCTTTTTCTCAGTCAGACCACTGAGCTGGTTGTGACCGTTGTCTTATAAAATCCACTTTTCATTGCATGTCACAATCCAATTGAGAAATGGTTCATTGTGTAGAATAAGAAGATGACACCTCAAAACAATTTTTTTTTTACTTTTTAGCCAGCTCAAGAGGCACCCACTTACCGAGCCTTTTCACCTTTCCAAATTGCTTCAAATGCTGAGTGACCATAGAATGTTCCATGTTGAGTTTATTAGCAGCTTCTCATGTAGTTGTAAGATCAGCCTCGATGCTTGCTCTCAACTGGTCATTGTCAACTTCTGATGGCCGGCCACTATGCTCCTCATCTTCAGGGCTCTGGTTTACTTTGCAAAATTTGAACCACCACTCTACTGTACATTTGTTAGCACTTGCTGGGCCAGTTCCTTGTTGATGTTGGGAGTTGTTTCGACTGCTTTACATCCCATCTTGATTTTGAGTAACCAAGTCTCTCTAATTAGCTTTTTATCTAACATCATTTCCATAGTCTAAAATGCATGTGAAGGGCTAGCAGGTGGCATAGTGTTTGGGTTACTGAACAAGTCCCATGTGGCTGACTGCAGTCGAGTCTCATACCTGATGGCTTGCTCTCTCACTTTTTCTCCCTCTCTTTGTCTCTCTCTCTCTCTCTCTGGTGAGTACATGTACCCTATAGAGAATTAAAACAAATAATCCTTAAAAAATAAAATACATATAAAATAAACAGCAAATAACAAGCCATTAGCAAGAGTCCATAAAGAAATGTGCATTAAAATGTTATACTAAATTACCACATTTATTTAAGAAAGTATCCAATGTCAAACAGCAAATTTCAACAATGAGAAACCTCAATTACTTTTGCACCAATCTAATACATATTTAAATTGTGCCGTGTATAAAGTTGTGTGTTTTAATCTCATTTTTATGTGCTCAACTTTTTTATTTCAAGGTGTTTGACGTTACGATGCAAATTGTACTTTGACAACTTATTATCACAGCGTGCCTATTGTGGAAAAATGAATTTTGACCATAAGAACGAAACTCTTAGTATATCAGTAAGTATCTTAATTCTTTATACCTTAACCATTAGAAAAATTAGCTGCTACTTTTTTCCTTTTTTTTTTTTAATGAAAAATTGATCAGCTTTAACTGTTTGTCATTAGAGGACAGAACTTATTTTTTAAGCTAAGAGTAGTTTTTGCCAGTGTGTTGAAAATTAAATGATTTTATTGAATCAAGTTGCTAGTTTAGATTTTTTTTCAGACATTATTTTCTTAGGATGATAATTAGGAATTTTATTTTCATTGATGAATGTGTACCTTGTCTTTCTATTCTATTGGTTCTTTTTAAAATACACACGTTTTTTTAGATTTGTGTCATAGGATGCATGCACTCACCCAGTAGAGAGAGAGAGAGAAATCACTTTCCAGGGAGGATGGCCATACCAAAATCCCTTCTCCTCCGTTCTCTCTCTCATATTTTGGACACACACAATGTGTTTTTCAAGCCACCGGGTCTGGGATTAGCATTGTAGAGTTGACCATGTGGGAGTCCAGCACCTTAATCACTATGCCACCTCCTGATCTCTTACATAACATTTTAAATTATTTGGGATATATGAGAAGTCCAAATTCTCTAGATTCAGTATAGGAAGGTTCTGTCCCATGTAATTATCTAACCCATGTACCCCATTTAATGAACTCTTGCTTCTGAAATTGTCCCTAGATCTGGCCTCTTTTTAATAAATAAAGCCATTTCCAACCTTGTACAGCCTCTATGACTAGATTCTTTTGTAGTTACATATGTTAAAAGAGGATATTATTGCTTTCAGTATCTTTTTAAGTTACCTTACCTACAAATAGAGAAACTGAGACTGAAGTTCCATGGTAGGTTATTAATAAATGAGTATGAGTTTTAGATCTCTGCAATTTGTCTAGGGCTTCATTATGTTGATACAGAATGCATCACTAGTATTTAATTTTTACTTATATGGGGGTTTAATAATTCAATTGGTTGTGGGGGTTTTTTGGGGGTGGGTTTTGTTTGTTTGTTTGTTTGTTTGTTTTTGCTATAGGGCGTGAGCACTTATGAGACAGAGAGCATTCACCCCCTGGGGGAATGACTACATTGCAGTCCCTTCTCCTCCACTCTCCTCTTGGGATTTTGGGCATGTGTACACACATGCCTAGCGTGATTTTCTTCTGAGAGATTTTTGCGATAGGGCACATGTGCTTGCCAGAGAGACAGACAGAAAGTGAGAGATCACCACCCCCCAGGTGGGATGGCCATGCCACAATCTCTTTTCCCCTACTTACCTCTTGGGATTTGGGGCATGAATGCACATGCATCCAGCCTGAGTTTTAAGCTACTTAGTCTGGGACTTGAAACGTGGTCGACTACGTGGGAGTCCAGCTACATAACCATTATGCCATCTGCTGGTCCCCCAGCATTATTTTTAAGCCATCAGCGCTGGGCCTCAAGCTGTGCTGCTGGCCATATGGGATCTAGTGCCTTAACCTCCATGCTACCTGCTAGCCCTGGTTTTTTTTTTTTTTTTTTTTGGTTACAGGGCACATGTGCTTGCCAAAGAGAGAGAGCAAGAGTGAGCACCCCATACATACACCTCTTGTGGGGATGGCCACACCAAAGTCTCTTCTTCATTCTTCTCTTTGGATTATGGTCATGCATACACATACATGTGTTTGGTGTGTTTTTCAAGCCACTGGTTCTGGGACTTTAGCCATGCAGTTGTTCATGTGGTATCTAGTTGCCTTAACCACTATGACACCTGGCTGGCCCAATTTGGTTTTAACTAATGTTAATGTTGCTTTTTCATTTGAATTTTCATAACAAATTCAGATTTACAGATAATAGATGCTCAATTTCAGTGTGTGTTTAAATTTGGAATTTTTGTAAATCTTAGAATGTTAAAAATAAATGAGTGCTTGGGACCAGCAGTTAGCGTAATGGCTATGTTGCTGGACTTCCACGTAGTCGACCGCGGTTCGAGTCCCGGACCCGGTGGCTTATACTCACGCCAGGCATGTGTGCGTGCGTGCCCAAGATCCCAAGAGGAGAACAGAGGAGAAGGGGTTGTAGTGTGGCCATCTCCCCGGGGGTTGATTTCCCGCTTTCTGTCTCTCTGTCTCTCTCTGTCTGTCTGGCGATCGCACGTGCCCTATAGCAAAAACCTCTCCAAAAAAAAAAAAAAAAGAAAAAAAAATGAGGGCTCATTTGAGGGCAATTTAATTTTTCAAATAGTGAATTGGAAAATATTTGAAGTTGTATTTCTGTTATTGGTATAAAGCTGGGTGGTGCTGTATTTTCACTTTTTATATATGTATGTATAAAATTACGTCAAAATGAACTAGAATCCTTACTAATATTCAAAATATTTTTATGTGTTGCATTTGCTGCTGTTATTGAGTAACTAGCACAAGCCTCCTCAAGTTGGTATTGTGTACTTTTTGTCATGGAATTAAGTGATTTAACCACTAGATGTCACTGCAGTTCAAGTAACAAAAAACTACGCACTTGATGTTTGTAACTGTAACAGTTTCAGGAGGATTTGTTTAAATGATTTATTTCATCAGTACATTTGATTTACATGGATACTTTTATTATTAAGCCTTGGGAATTTTAGTATGTTAGATTTAGTTACTGTTTGAAAAAGTTTTCAATTCCATTTTCTTGCAATAAAACACAAAACACCATTATGTAAGCTCACTGTTTCACTATAAAATATTTTGAATGGAATAAATAGTTCCATGTCACTAAATAATTTTATTCCTTTTTTTCCATTTTTCTCTAAATTGCTTCTTTTTCATACTAGCCAACCTATGTTGTAAAGAATTTAATCTGATACTTTCTGTGTCTGTATTTAGTTTTTTGTCAACTCATTTTCTTAAAGGTTCAGCCTGGAGAGGGAAATAAAGCTGCCTTTAATGACATGAGAGCCTTGTCTGGAGGTGAACGGTCATTTTCCACGGTGTGCTTCATCCTTTCCCTGTGGTCCATTGCCGAATCACCTTTCAGATGCCTGGATGAGTTTGATGTCTACATGGTACTGTTAAATTTTAAATTCGTTTGTTTTTAATTGCCAGAGAGTGAGAGAATGTGTTGCACATGTGCAAGCATAAGCACCTCCCAGCAGGCATGGTCACACCACGATCCTTTTCCTCTCTTTATCCATCCCTTCAGAACGCGGGGAGCGCACACTGTGCCTACCGTGCTCTCCACGCCACTGGGGCCAGTGTTCAGGCCGCGGTCCACTCACGTGCTTTGGCTCCTCTGCACAGTAGTTTATTGCTATGTTTCAGTGCCGGTCCTAACCTCTATAATTTTTGTTTGTTGTGTGAAATGTGTATTTTGAAAGGGAGCAAACCATTCTTTAGTTTTACCCATAACAGGACATATCCTGCCCTGGCACTTATTATCTGTAACACAGTAGAGGACCTTTAGTTCACAGAATTCACTATATATAGCAAAATAACTAACAGTGTTCTTAGTACAAAATAATGATAAGTATTTGACATGGCGAATATGCTAATTTTCCTGATTTGATCATTACATATTATATTTAGGTATTGACAAATTACACCCTACCCCAGAAATACGTGCAATTATCATGTGTCAATTTAAAACAAATTTTTTATTTAGATTTTTGCCATAGGGTACATGTGTTGGCCAGAGAGAGATGCTGAGAGGGAAAGTGAGAAATCACCCCTGGGAAGGGATGGCCATGCCACAATCCCTTTTTCTCTGTTCTCCTCTTGGAATTTTGGGTATACACACGCACATGTGCCCAGTATGAGTTTCAAGGCGCCCAATCTGAACTCAAACCACATCGGCATATGGGAATCCAGTGCCTCAGCCACTATGCTATCTGCTGGTTCCAAAACAGTAATTTTTATAAAGAAACTAAAAACATTTCTCTTTTGTCTTTGCCCTCCTTTTTTTTTCCTTTTTGTGCTGAGATCCTTATTACTTGTCATTCCCCTCTTGCCTGTTATAATGGTCTCTTTTCTGGACTCCCAGCCTTTCATCCTGCTCTTTCATTCTAACCTACATCTGTTTTAGCATTTTATATTTCTAAGGTGGAGTCGATTGTGGTCACTCACCTATATAAAAACCCCTTGGTGGTTAATCACCTTATTATAGGATAAGCGTTTAATTCTGCAGGTAACTGAGACCCTCATGACTCAGCTTCTGCTCACTTTAGCACTGCTGAACTAATGGTAGTTTTCCAAGCACAGGGCCTCTGCCTAGTGTGCCCTCATTCACTATGTGTCAGTCTCTTTGAGGAAATTTGAAAAAGCGTGTAGAAGAATGAAATTAGAGTTTATTTTGGTACAAAAATATTATTTGAAAATGGGACCAGCAGTTAGTATAATGGCTAAGTCACTGGACTCCCATGTAGTCTGCTGCAGTTCGAGTCCCGGACCCAGTGGCTTAAACTCAGTGCCGAGCGCTTGTGCGTGTGTGCCCAAGATCACAAGAGGAGAATGGAGGAAAAGGGATTGCAGCGTGGCCATCCCCCCAGGGCGTGATTTGCTTTGTGTCTCTCTCTTTCTGGTGAGTACATGCTCCCTATAGCAAAAACCTCTCAAAAAAAATTATTTGAAATTTGTGTGTAGCTTTTTCAAAATAGGCATGAACTTTCTGAAGACCTCTTGTACTTACGTTCCACAGTTTTGCTCAAATGTCACCTTTATGGAGCCTTCTGTGACTGTTGTATCTTGTCAGGAAGGATTGGGAACTTCTTAGAGCTTCCTTTGTACCACCTGACATCAATTCATGATTTTTAGTTTTAGTTTTGTTTTGTTTTGTCTTGTGTTTTGCTATAGGGTACATGTGCTTGCCAGAGGAAGCAAACGGGGGTGGGGTGAGAGGGGGTAGAGTGAGAATTCATCCTCTGCTCCCTCACCCTGCCCCTACCAGGGGAGATGACCACACCACATAGTCCCTTCTCCATTCTCTTGGGATTGGGGCATGGTTGCACATGCCCCTGCTGTGGGGTTGGTTTGTTTGTTTAATTTTTTGCTGAAGGGCACATGTCCTCACCGGTGAGAGAGAGATTGAGAGAGAGAGAGAGAGTGAAAGTGAGAAATCAGCCCCCGGGTCGGGGGGGCTGGGATGGCTGCTGTAATCCCTTTTCCTCCGTTCTCTTCTCAGTATTTTAGGTTTGATTTCCAAGGTGCTGGATTTGGCATCTTAGCTACTCATTCTGCCACGTGAGATCCAGCCACTTTAGCCACCATGCCACTGGCTAGCCTGATATATTATTTTCACATTATAAAATCTTTTGTATTATTTTTCATTCTATTGGAGTTACCTGTTTTCACGTGTGAGTCTCCCATCAGATTGTAACCACTTTGAGGTTATGAACTATAATTCCTCTGGGAATTGTCTTTAAAGCTAATTCACAAATTGTAGAAGATGATTATTTTTTCTGTGAAGTGATTTTATCAGAATGCTATTATGCAGTCTTATCACCCATCTTGTATGTCACATTTCATTTGGAACAGTTTGTCTTTCAGAAACTTAGCGCCCTTCAGAGTGGTACTTTGTCCCATTGAAATTAAATAGAAGAATGAACCCAGGACCAGCAGATGGTGTAGTAGTTACATTGTGTGACTTCCATGTAGTCGACCACGGTTCTAGTCCTGCACTCAGCAGCTTAAAACTCATGCCAGGTGCATGTGCATGCATGCCCAAAATCATGAAAGGAAAATGGAGGAGAAGGGATTGCAGCATAGCCATCCCCGTAGGGGATGATTTCTGATTTTCTGTCTTTGGCAAGTGCACACTCCCTATAGCAAAAATCTCCCTAAGAAAAGGAAAAGAATGAACCCAAGTTCTGAGAGCCAATCCAAGGGAGATGAATGAATAATTTTTTGTGCATTGACAGCTTTGTTACTAAGCAAGAGGCTTCCCAGGGCAATGTTTTCAGATGACAATGTTCAATTTGAAGTCAAACAGGGTCTGATTATTATTTTTTATAGTTAGTAGCTTTATTGCAATTTCCTAAATATTATGTAGCATTTATGACTCAGGAAATCCCAGATACTCTCTTGTCCATCTAAAACAAGAAATGCAGTTATGATTATCTTTTTCAGTATTAGGGAGTTCCGAGCCCCAGATATTCTATATATGTATCACTGTGCTCCTGTTTGTCTTAGTAATACTGATGTAAAGGCTTACTTTTGATGGAAGCTCCAGTTTTTTAGTTCTAGGACCAGGTAAAGACAGGGCAGCCCCATGATCTGTAAAACCAAAGGGTGATGGCTCAGGTTAGGACCATTTCTTGGTGACATTGAAATGGTTGAGCTGGTCTGCCAGAGATCTATGCGGAGGGAACTTGGAAGTGATGGCCACCTTGACGTCCTCGAAGGCGTCTGGCCTGCCCCACACCTGCGACATGGCCGCGCTCCTGCTCCGTGGGCAGGTAGGTCCTGTTCAGCCACTAGTGGCTCTCCACCTCGATCTCCAGGCAATAGATCATGTGTTGCTTCGTATGCAAAGACTCGCATCGTGGCTGCAGGTGTTTCCCTATCCGTTGCCTGCCAGGGATATGATTGCAGAGGAGGGCCCCATCAGGAGCAGGGTGCCTGCAACTGTGGTCCTCGAGAGTCAGCGTCCCTCCAGGAGCTCTCTGACATGATTGCAGAAGCACAACCACGCTCTGGTTATTTTTGTTCATTTTAGTTAGGTTACTTTATAGGTACACTTGATGAATTTACAGAATTAGAGCCATTGAGTAATACAGCTAGGAACCAAGACCCTGTTTGACTTCAAAGACAATGTTCTATTAGATTCAAATAAGACCTTTAAAAATATAGACCTTTGGACTGACTCCAGGGCCTGGTGAACAGCAACTGGATCCCCCATGCCTCAAGTCCTCGGCCCAGTGTCTTGAGAAGCTCTGGGTGCATGTGCATATATACCCAAAAATCCCAAAAAGAGGGAGAGATGAAAAAGAAGGGATTATGTCCTCATTCCCCATGGGGGATGAGTTTTCCTCTTGATCTCTTTCTCTGGCAGATGCACATATCCTGTAGCCAAAAAATGCATCCATTTGTCTGTTTTTAACTTCCAGGAAATTTCAAGGAAGTAGAAGGAAATATACTTTGGTTTTCCCTTTTTTCTGTTACGTAATGCATAAAATGTAAGCAAACTAATTCACTTAGTTTAAAACCTATTATAACTAAACATTATTTTTTTCCTATACATTGATATGCTGTTTTCTTATTTTAAAGATTTAATCGAGAAATTGGTTTATAAATTCAAATTGGCTTACATTATACTAAGTGTAAAAAGTAAAGAAGAAAGGCAGGTATTTTAAAATTACCTTAATCTTTGAAGGAAAATTTGAGACTAGACACTTCTTTCCATTACTTCCTGTAATGAACTATTACTGTACATTCTCTAACATTAAATGTGTCATTTGAATATTTTCTCTTTTCTTTTTTCTTTTCAGTTTTTATTGTAATATGTGTGTGCTTTTTTTTTTTTTTAAGTTTTTTGTTATATGTGTGCCTGCCAGAGATACAGAAAGAGAGAGGGAGGGAAGCGAGAAATCACCCCCCACTAAGGGTGTATGGCTACATCACAGTCCCTTCTCCTCCATTCTCCTCTCAGGATTTTAGGCATGCATGGACACACGTCTAGTGTATTTTCCAAGCCACCAGTTCTGGGACTTGAACTGTGCACTTGTCCATGTGGGACCCAGCCTTAACAACCATACCATCTGGCTGGTCTTTTCTTTTTTTCTTTCATTTTTTTTTTTTTCTTCCAGAAGGCACCTGTACCCACTAGAGAGAAAAGTACCCCCCCAGTGGGGTGTGGTCATGCTGCAGTTTCTTTTCCTCTACTTTCCTATCCCAACAGGATTTTAGAGACACACACCAATGTGGCTGGTATGTTTTTTAAGCTGTCAAGGCAGGGATTAGAACTGTGGTCGACTGAGACCAGCAGATGGTATAATGGTTATGTTGCTGGACTCCCACATAGCTGACTGCGTATCGAGTCCTGGATCCAGTGTCTTAAAACTCACGCCTGGTGTGTGTGCGTGCATGCCCAAAATTGCAAAAGGAGAATGGAGGAGAAGGAATTGCGACATGGCCATCCCCCCTAGGGCATGATTTCTCACTTTGGGTCTCCTTGTCTTTCTCTGTGTCTCCAACAATCACACATGCTCTATAGCAAAAATCTCTCTTAAAAAAAAATAAAAAATAAAAAACAAAAAATGGTGATCGACTATATGGGAATATATGCTTAACCACTGCACTCTGGGGCCATCCTTATTTGAATATTTTCTGAATATTTTAGTTGCTGCACATATTTAAGGAAGGGAGCCACACATACAAACACTTTGACTATAGAAATTACCTGGAAGATATAATTATTTAGTTGTTTTCCCTGATAGTTTCTTTCTCCTCCTAATGGTTTTTAATACTGGGACCAGCAGGTGGCATGGTGGTTAAGGTGCTAGACTCCCACATGGTTGACCCGAGTTCAAGTCCCAGACCTAGTATCTTGAAACTCATTCTGGGAGTGCATGCATAGGTGCCCAAAATCAGAGGAGAATGGAGGAGAAGGGATTATGACATGGTCATGCCCCCAGTGGGTGATTTCTGACTTTCCCTCTCCCTCCCTCTCTCTCCAGCGACTATCTGTTCAGTGAGCACATGCGACCTATGGTGAAAACATTTTAAAAAAAGTTTCTGATGCTGCCTTTGATATTAATTCCTTGGCATTATAGATAAGGAAATGATCCTTCAATTTTCATTAGTTTCTGATTTATATCAGCCAGAGAATTTTGCTTTTACAGAAATGTGATTGACACAGTAAGAATCCTAACTTTGTTTTTATTCTTCAGGATATGGTTAATAGGAGAATTGCAATGGACATGATACTCAAGATGGCAGATTCTCAGCGTTTTAGGCAATTTATCTTGCTTACCCCTCAGAGCATGAGGTAAGTCCTTAGAAGTGCGTGTGTGTGTGTGTGCACACGCACACCCATATATAAAGTATATAAAAGAGGGAAAGAAATACTTCACAACCTTGGGACCAGCAGTTAGTGTAATGGCTATGTCGCTGGACTCCCATGTAGTCGACTGCGGTTCGAGTTCTGGACCACTGACTTAAACTCATGCCGTGCACGTGTGTGTGCGTGCCCAAGATCCCAAGAGGAGAGTGGAGGAGAAGGGAATGTGGCGTGACCATCCCCCCTGGGGGGTGATTTCTCGGTTTCTATCTCCCTGTCTCTCTCTGCCTTGCTGGCGAGCACACGTACCCTATAGCAAAAACCTCTCCAAAAAAAAAGAAAAGAAAAGAAAAATACTTCATAACCTTAATTTTTATTTATTTTTTTGAGAGATTTTTGCTATAGGACATGTATGCTCGCAAGAGCATGGAGATGGCCACACCTTAATCCCTTCTCCTCCATTCTCCTCTTTGGATTTTGAGCGTGTATGCACACACACTTGGTGTGAGCTTTTTTAAGCCGCTGGTCCAGGACTTGAACTGTGGTCAACTATGTGGTAGTCCAGTGACATAACCATTATGCCTTCTGCTGGTCTCACAATCTTAATTTTTTTAAATACAGTTAACATAAATGCCCCCCATTAACAGATAAATTAGCCCATATATCCATTGATTGGAGAGATTTCTTTTAACTTTTTTGATATTTAAAATTTTGTTTGTGGGGCCAGGAGGTGGCGCTGAACTTCCACATGGCCAGCCATGGTTCAAGTCACAAACCTGGTGGCTTGCTTTGTCACTTCCCTCTCTCTCTCTCTCTCTCTCTCCTGTCTCTCTCTGGTGAGTGCATAAGCCCTGTAGCAAGTTAAAATAATAATAAATAAAATTAAATAAATATAAATGAATAAAATTTTGTTTGCATAGTTTTCTTATCTCTTCATAAATGAATCAAATTGATTGGGATGTGATTATTGACTTACTACTTCTAGTTTGAATCTTTTTTTTTTTTTTGTGATTATCATGACCAAGTATTATAATTTTAGTAATTCTGTTTAGACTAAAGAAACATTCATGACTTTCCTAAACTTAGCTTTTTTTCTTGGTGACCTATAGTATGCTGTCAGTTGGCAATTCTTGGGTAACAACAGTGTATCTGGCACGACCTCACTCAGAGTTGATATTCTCTCTGTAAGGCGGTCATATGTTACATTTCTGACTGGGAACATGTAGGTGACTCCTTCCTGGCTAGTCAAGAGCAAGAGTTAAAAATAGTCGACATAGAACTTTATTTTATTTTTCCTTCAAACTAAAGAACCATAGTAAAAATGAAAACAACCTATTGCTTTAATGCAATTTGTGTTTATCCTAGAACTCTAGATTTTGGACAGATCCCACTGTTAGCAATAGCCATTTAGATTTATGTTTTTATGAGGTAGTATTAGAATTTTTTTAACCTGTGAAACCTGTTTTGGACATTTTGAGTGATTGATTTTGTTTTCTCTAGCTCACTTCCTTCAAGTAAACTGATTAGAATTCTTCGAATGTCTGACCCTGAAAGAGGACAAACTACGTTGCCTTTCCGACCTGTGACTCAGGAGGAAGACGATGACCGAAGTTGATTTATAACTCAATATATCATATCCTCATGTTGCAAAATTTGTGAAGGGAAACAAATTCTGAACTGTCCAATGACAAAATAAGACTGAAGATTTCTAAGTTAAAACAAACTGTTTTGTATGTCCGACCACAGTAAGATATGTAAATAAGCCTAGAAAACCAACTATAGCATCAGTTAAAAATTATCGTCACTTTGAGAAAATCAGTTTCATAATACTGGTTTTAAATCTTTTTAAGTTTGTCTGTTTCTTTTTACCATCTACTTTTATAGATTCTTTTTCAGAAGTAAAATTTTGTATATATATACATGTACATATCTGTTTAGTTTGCATTCATTTCTATAGTATTTTGTAAGAATGAAAATAAAATTTGAGCGCCCAATTTTATTTGCTTTTGCTTTTCCAGAATATTTTACATTCGGCACTGAAATTATCAAAAAAGTAAGTGAAGAGCAGGATTTCTCATTGCAGAGGGCGAATTACAAGGATGGTCTGTGGACAGGACTGATTTCCAGGGGATTTGTCTGACTTTGGCTTACTAGTTAGGAGAGACCTACACAGCACTATAACTACATTGGGCAAAGTCACTGCCTCAAGGTAATTTTTAAATTATAGATTTGGGGGGACCAGCAGTTAGCATAATGGCTGTGTTGCTGGACTCCCATGTAGTCGACCGCGGTTCGCGTCCCGGACCCGGTGGCTTAAAACTCATGCTGGGCGCGTGTGCCTGCATGCCCAAGATCCCGAGAGGAGAATGGAGGAGAAGGGATTGCGGCGTGGTCATCCCCTCTGGGGGGTGATTTCTCGCTTTCTGTCTCTGTCTCTCTCTGTCTGTCTGGCGAGCGCATGCTCCCTATAGCAAAAACCTCTCAAAACAAAAAAAAAAATTATAGATTTGGGCTGTAACTTTTAATTAGTATATTTCATCAAATTTAAGATGCTATCAGTTTATTAAGACACTTTTATGAAGCGCTGAAGCACTGCCAACTCTGACATAATGCATTTTCCTAGCCCTTTGGTTGTCCGCACATGTGAGAGCCTGTAACTGATATCGGACTGGAGAATGATGCAGTTTTTCACCCTGACCGAGCACACTTGCCTGGTTTGAAAACCCTCAGTTTATAGCCCAGGGGTTATCAGACTGGGTCTTAGCTGAGAACATGGACCAGAGAGACTGTGCAGACAGGTCCCTCTGGGAGAAGTGCTGGGAGAGTTGGGAGTGGATGGTAGCAGGAGGGTAACTAGTGGCTGTAAAAGCCAGAGGCCAAGGTGAAATTCCTTAGCTAATACAATTTATGTACTTGAGAGGGCCAGAAGGTGGTGTGGTGGTTAAGGCACTGGACTCAGTCCCACATAGACAACTGCAGTTCCGAGTCCCGAACCTAGCAGCTTGCTTTCTTTCTCTCTGTCTATCTGGTGAGCGCATGTACCCTATAAGAAATTTTTAAAATATTACAAGTAAATTTAAAAAGAAAATTTTATTTCTTTTTTATACATTCAATTACCTTTTTTAGTTTACAAAGTGAATATTTCAATATGGGAACATTTCTCCCTAGTCCAGTTGATTAAACTATAAAATACCTTCAACAGATAATACCAAATTTCTTTGTCCCATTAATGCTTTGCCTCCCTATTTTTCTTCTAAATGTCCTTCCTAAGGCCCTACTCTTCCACACACACTATATCTGGTATTTACATCCATTTATTCTTCCATATTCTTCCACTTTCTGTCAAAAGCCAGGGTTTTTTTGTTTTGTTTTGTTTTGGTTTTTTTGTTTGTTTGTTTTTAAATGGCTGAATAGTATTCCATAGAGTATATGTGCCACAGTTTCTCAGTCCATTCATCTGTTCGAGGGCATTTTGGCTGGTTCCATATCTTAGCAATTGTGAATAGTGCTGCAATAAACATCCATGTGCAAGCAATTTTCTGATGAAGAATTCTTCTGTCCTTTGGGTAGATACCAAAGAGCAGGATTGCTAGATCATATGGTAGGGTTATTTGTAGATTTTTGAGGATCTCCAAATTGTTCTCCACAGTGGCTGGACTAATTTACATTCCCACCAGCAGTGTAAAAGAGTTCCCCTTTCACCACACCCCCGAACACTTATCATTTTTTTTTTTT